TTTTTTTTGAAAAGTAAATTTGAGCCCCCAAGGATAAGATTTTAAGGTATTTCGAGAAGTGATGCCTAAGAAATCTCTAGGTGAGAAAAGTTCTTCTAATGTTACCAATGTACTGAAATATTTTAAGAATTATTTCGATAAAAGGGTTCTAATTTATTTTTCTCGAATAAAATTCGAGCACTAAAAAAACTAGTTTCCAACAAATAAAAAATCAAAAAAATTATTTTTCAAACACAAAAAATAAGACTGTTTTTATTAAATCATAGGATAACACGTAGTTAAGTGGTACCGTTTTTAAACGGGCGTTATGGGGGTGCTAATTCTTACTCACACGTAACCGACTCCCGAACTCAGACTGTTTCGCAGACCATAAAATTATCTTTTAAATAAATTTTAATTAATTTTATTAAAAGGATAAATTTTGATAAGTGGTCAATTGCACATAGCCAAAAAAATTGGTGGCGACTCCATTATATTTTTATTCTATTTCCAAATTCATCGGACGGACGCAAAACCATCGTGACATTGTGTTGAACTCTTTGCAAGCAATTCTTTTGTAGGCATTTTGTTTATATGTTCATTCGATGCTGAAATGTTGGTGAGATTCCTTTACTATGTGAAATGTGGCATGTAATGCTTAAAAACAGCAAGAAAAGAAAAATTCTTGCTGCACATTTATTCCCTGCATATTGTACTTGCAATTGTTTGCAGAGTTTCCTGATTAATAATAGATCTTCAATTAAGAGGCCTCAGACAGGGCATCAATAAATGGGATGCCTGGAGCGACGGGGCACATGCTGTCACTTTTCCTGCTTGATCTGCATGGGTCCATTCAAAATGCTTAACAACTAAACTTTAAAATTTACAAGTTGAAATTGGTTATGATTGTTTATATTGCTAAAGATCTTGCATTATGGGGAAAAGTTTGGGAGACACTTTTTACCCTTTGGAATGTAATCTAGATACCTTGGAAGATAGGGAATTTGCAATGTCCACATTTTTTCTATGGATGGAATTTAAAGTAATGAGGAGACTTGCAGAGACTCTTATTAGCCGTCAAAAATGTCTTCTATTGCGCTAACTTCACTCACTTCCAACATCCTTGCGGAGGCAAAGAACCACCTTTTGATATTTTCCATAGTTCATGCCCTTTAAAATCCCCACCCTGTAAACAAAGATCTTGGTTTTCCATGCTAAGCCTTAATAACAGACTTTTGATGTGTTATTGTCTAATGTATTGAAAACTTCAAATTGCAGTTTGCAAATGTGTGATTGCATGGAAAATAGAGAAGCAGATGGACTTCAGAGAGTCCCTTCAATTATGCAGGATGAGTAGTAATACTGCAATGTTGTTACCATCAATTTCACAAGAAGCATCTTTCTAATATTGCTGACAGCAACTGTTCGATGGTTGCAACTAGTCATTTCAATTCAAGGAAGAGAACATCTTGCATCTAATTGCAACGTTAATGATACGTAAGCACTCAAATGGAAATAACTAACCAATGCAAATTCCTGTTTCATTAATGCTACCTGATAGTTCAAGGTTGCATATCATTATGTCGGATGCATGGTCATGCCTGAAACATGGTTGTGTTTATAAATTGATACAGAAGTGAAAACTTCAGCTAAAAGTCATATAATGTATGAGAAAAATAGGTGGCGCGCATGACACAAAATCACTACTCGATTTCAAATTACAGATCAAAACTCAGTCAAGAAATGAAATTTACCACCAATAATTGGATAGAAAAGAATTTTTTTTTCCTGCTCCCGCTTTTCCAACCGAAAGAGTGTTCTTGTAATCTGAGAAAAAATTTACTACTAATTCTCATGCATCACCGATCAAAATCTGTCGTTTCTCACACATGGAATCAGTCTCATCATCACCTGAAAGTCTGCATAGGCATATCTCCAATAACCAATTGCAATGGCCCAAAAATATCCACACTGTCCCATCTATATAAAGGGTATTGCATTCCCTTCGAGAACAGCCTAAAACTTTAACACGCATCAAGAATAGTGTAAAAAATGCTTCTTCCTATATTTGTCTTTTTTTTCTTTCCTAGTCTCCTTTTCCAATGCATTAGACTTCTGCGTTGCAGACTTAAATCCTCCTCAAGGCCTCGCAGGCTGCTCCTACACGAAGACTGAAGCAGTCATCACAGGCGATTTTGTTTTCTAAGGCCTTGTTGCTGCAGGCAAAACCTCAAACCTCATAAAAACTGCTGTAACACCAGCATTTGATGCTCAATTTCCTGGTGTTAATGGACTTGACATTTCCATGGCTTGTCTGGACTTGGCTGTTGATGGAGTGGTGCCTATGCATACACAACCTGCGGCTGGGGCTTCGGAAATCCTCGTTGTAATTCAAGTGAATTTGTGCTGGATTCGTATCCTCAGCCAACAAAGTTCACTTCAAATCTCTCAAAAAGGGTGATATTATGGTTTTCCCGCAAGGTTAATTGCATTTTCAAATCAATGCTGGTAAATCTCAAGCGTCGGTATTTGTATCCTTCAGTACTCCAAACGCTGGTCTCCAGATCCTGGACTTCGCCTTGTCTGGAAATTATTTGCCCTGTGACATTATAGAAGACACTACTTTCCTCGACGGTGCACAGGTTAAGAAGCTGAAAGGCGTTCTTGGAGGAACTGGCTAAGATTCCATAATTTTGTGTTTCCTTGGTTTCTTGTCAACTGTCATGTTAAGAAGTCTGGAAGCATAACTGTCTTCCAGTCAACGGTAGTTTGTTTAAAATTACTAGCAAAAGAGTCTAGTTGTAGTACTTCTTTGTATTCCTTCTTCAAGCTCAATTGTCTTTTGGCAGGGTGAAATCTGACAGCAAATCTCTTATAGAAAAACCATTCCATGAACCCAAAAGTTTCTCAAGAAACAAAGAGTGGAGCCTCTAACAATATATGCTTGCCAAGTTTCCTATTAAATTTACTATTGTTTGTGCTAAATCCTGACCCCAGGACAGAAACATAAAATTATAAAATCCGTCAGAAGCAAAGGTCAGAGGTATCCGACTTGAAGTGGCAGATCATAGGCTGATGTAACTGGACCCGACTTGACATGGTCCGCTGACTACCAATTTTTGAGTCACATTTTAGCTTGGTCAAGCAAGTATCAGGTGGGCTACTATGCTAGCCAAAGATGTGCTTCGTTAAATTAGATCGACTTGCCAAATCGGCCAAATGATTGAAAATCTCCTCTTGATGTGTTGAGTCACTTTCTATGAAAAAAACAGTAATGAGACGGTAAAATATCCCTATCAAGTATAACATTTATAGAACTTTAAACAGTCCTTGAAACAAAAATCCTGCAGGCCCTGATCAAACAAATACTTCTGTCATTGTTCTCAAAATTTTTGTTTTATAGACGTTTGAAGACTACAACCTTCATGGAAAATGTCCCTGATCTAATCATCTAAACCAAATGGACAGGACAGGCAAAAATGGGGTTGAGATTAAGGTGACTAAAAATCCTGCTGTACAGTATCTTCTACTTCCTTATTAGTAAGTATCTTGATGCCATCTGGGTGTGAAATCAAACCTTAAAACAGTATATTCATCTAAGGCTACAGCATTGAATCTGATCTCAAATCAGTTTTATAAGTCCTAGCAGCAAGTAGATGGCTTGAAATTTACAAGCTATGGGGACTAGGGTAAACACAAACGCCCAGAAATAAATAAATAAATAAACATACAGAATATGATATTTGAACTTTTGTTAACCAAAAAAGTCATTTACCCTTTATTCTCTCCAAGTGGAATATTTGGGCTTTCTGGGTTTCGGTTGGGCTTTAGCTGTATATGGACATACAATATCTCATGCATGGTACTGGCACCGTGGAAACGGTTTACCTACGTCTTAATGTCCCCTTTTACACAGTTCAAAATTCAAGAACCATGAGAGTGGACTTTGCTGTATAGCATTCTTGGTTCTTGCTTATAAATTGCATAGTCAGAGCAAAGCTATCGAGAGCAGAAATCCAATATAATTTGTCAGAGGCATTTCATAAACAATTTGAGGGCATTCCATTCCCATATCCTACCAATCCTATCATAATTAAAGTATCTTCAATCCTATTAATCCGCTATTACTTCAATAGTATTGGAGTCTACTCCAAAACTAAAAATCTAGAATTCGGATTTCGGTTGTAAAAAAAAAAAAAAAAAACCTTAAATTCTCATTCTTTAAAGTTCAAATGCCCATCTATGTCGGTTTTGCTAATTCCTACTATAAAGCCACTACAAATCTATCACCAATTTTCCAGGAACACAGCAACCTAAATACAAAATTAAAGCACTCGAACAATAGATATGCTTATTAGGGAGTTCAAGGGCGGGAAAAGAGGAGGGAATTATTTCTCGTTGTCTTCAATGTAGCCGTTATAAGAAAGTCCTTTTGCATCTCGGCGTGCTTCGGATCATGTGTGTTTCCAATGTCGGCATGTGAACTCCTCATCTGATCCATTTTTAAACATGAATCAAGAAATTTAACATGTATGTGAATCAACAGACTAAAAAAACCCTGTAAAACACAGAGGATTGGTGCGATCCCATCAATCGTTTAAAAAACCTTATATCAATTGTCCAATCCAACCCGACACTAAATTGGATACACCCTCACATTATTATTACATCAGAATTCAGAAACGTTTGCTTAATCACCCCAACAAACAAATACAAAATCCAGCAAATCCATACAGCTAAGAGAACCCCACCCTCCCCTTCGTCCTCATTAATTTCTTCAAAGATTTTCCCAACTAATTATCTCATCATGGCCTTTTTAATCATCATCAACTCTATAATTAACATATTCCCCCCTGCCCTTATCCTAATCATCAGAAACCAATTCTGTCATCATTACCAAAATCCTCTCCTTCACTAAATAAAATATATATATAAAAAGGAAAAAAAAGGGTCAAAAGGGGAAATAACAAGCCAGGTAAGCAGGTGGGCAAATGGAAAAGAATGAAAGAGGCCCTGTCTGCTCTGGCTGTGTTCTGTTCTGTTCTGTTCTTTAACAGAGTTTAAGATAGAGAGAGAGGGTTTGGTTTTTTTGCCTTTGCCAGCCTGTCATTTATCTTCATTTTCTATAAATTAATTTTATCTTTTTTTAATTACCAAAAGCTTTCTCTTCTCTCCATTTATATATAAAGGGCTTTGTTGTTTCATTTAACAATTTGGCTCTCCTCTGTTTCCTGCATTTTGTTTCCAAAGACAAAGACTTAGGCCCCGCCAGAAACGTCAAGGTTTCTCCTTTGCCATGAGTCTCTTTGGCCTCGGTAGCAGGTACACGCCAATTCAATTACCCAAATCTCTTTTCTTTCGAAAATTTCTCCATTCTTTCTCGTTTCTGTATCTTTATGAATTATGGGGGTGATCTCTGTTTTCTTCTCTTTTTCTTTATTTGCTGTTGTTTCGTGATGATAAATGATTTCAAATCTGGGGTTTCGAGAAATAGTCATAGAAAAAATATCTGAATTCCTGTTACATGTTGGATGAGGATTATTGGAAAATGGAAATTTTACGACATATAATCAAATTTCATCTTGATGATTATAGTTGTTTGCGAAGGACTTTGATATTTCTAATAAAAAAAAAAAGGACAACTTTTTTTATGTTGAAAAATTCTAGATTACGTTATAAGAAGTTGATGACAGCTGTCATTCATGCAAAAGAAAAGGAAGTTTCTTTTTTTTCTTCTTATCTCATTCTCATAGTTGGAAATTGGATTCCAAGAAAAGTCAATAAAATGGATTTCCATATGGCATTTTCACTCTCATATATGAAAAGTCAAAGTTTTTTCCTGATAATTATGATTCCACGTTTTTCACAATGAACTTTACATCGTGCAGAAACCAGAAGACATTTAGGCCTAAGAAGAATGCTCCATCCGGAAGCAAGGTTGGTGTGCTTCCTTTTTTCTTGCTTGGGTTTAGTATTTGTCAGCATATCTTCTGGTCCTTGGGTGATTTCAATCTTGTTACTACGAGTTGATGGAATGTAATTTTCATGAAATGCAGGGTGCTCAGCTTCAAAAGCACATTGATGCAACCTTGGGTAGTGGGAACTTGAGAGAAGCTGTTCGGCTACCACCTGGAGAAGATATTAACGAGTGGCTGGCTGTAAACAGTAAAAATCTGAGCATATGACTATAAAACTTAAAACTTCTTTGCTAGAGAGTCATAAACTCATAATCATAAACCAGATATTTAATAATGATTTTTTGTCAATTATATAGTATGAATTGTGAATTTTTTTTCTGTTCATTTCTTTCTTTTTCATGCAGCGGTGGATTTCTTCAATCAGGTGAATATCCTGTATGGTACTCTAACTGAGTTCTGCACTCCAAATAACTGTCCAACAATGACAGCAGGACCAAAGTATGATACTTAATCCCTCAGTCAGATCCTCTTAATGATTTTGAGAGCTGAATTTCAGTATAGTTTGCTTGAGAATTGTACTTGCGAGTTCCATTTAAATACTTTTTTAGGGAGATTGGATATGTTTTCCACGATAATTGCATCTGTACTTTGCTTGTTCCGGCAGTTCTTTCTTCTTTTAATAGCTAGTGATTCTAACTTTTGATTGCTTTGTTGCTAAAAGCCATAAAGATTGAAATTAGTTGGTTTAATTGTTGATGTTGGCAGATACGAGTATAGATGGGCAGATGGAGTTACTATTAAGAAGCCTATAGAGGTATCGGCACCTAAGTACGCTGAGTATCTGATGGATTGGATTGAAGCTCAGCTAGATGATGAAGCAATTTTCCCACAAAAATTGGGTTAGTATAATCTTGTAATGAACCAAAAAATAATCTTAAATTGAAGCATTTGTTATTGTCATTTGAGTTTTTATGTGCTACAGGAGCGCCATTTCCACCAAATTTTCGAGATGTTGTGAAGACAATATTTAAAAGATTGTTCCGAGTATATGCACATATCTACCACTCACATTTTCAGAAGATTGTGAGTTTGAAGGAAGAAGCTCATTTGAATACTTGCTTTAAGCATTTTGTTCTGTTTACTTGGGTAAGTTCCACGTCCATGTCAAATCCATGTGCTTAATGGTTGTTAAGTTTTGCCTCATTGCAACCTTTGTCCAACCAAATTCATCACTTGTGGCTACAAAAAATGCATTGGCATGTGCTAATGATTCTTGCGGGCCTCCAAATCTAATCGATTGTCATGTTATGCAGGAATTCCGGTTGATTGAGAAAGGAGAACTTGCACCTCTGTCCGACCTTGTGGACTCTATTTTGCAGTTGTAGCCCAATGAATTTTCCCTTTTCCTTTCTTTCTTTGGATACACATTTTTGTGAGCTACTATCTGTGAAGAAAAAGATGCCTTTAAGCATCTGTTGTCTCCTTTCTCATCCATTGGTTTTATTTTCATTAATCAGAAATCAACAGAAGGCTTATCCCATTGGAAAGTTTGTATTATTTTATGGTTACGAGTGATAGTTGCATTTTGAGGAACCAATAGGTTGGAAAGTGAAGTTGATATAAATGTGGGAATATCCTTGAGGGCCAATATTCACCAAAGAAAATGGTTCTTTTCCATTAAAGTTTCAACTAACCATTCTGTAATTCATGCTTTAATTTGTACAATAAAAAAATCCACATATTTGCATTCTGCATATCCATCCAACATTGGTAACTACTCACTAGGTTGCATTAATAATAATTGAAATCAATGTATTTTCGTATTATTAATATCCAGATTTAATACAAATCAATCAGTAATAATCCTCTTATTTCCATCAGTTATTCAAACCCAAAACTTTGGCATGGGAACATAGCCACCTCATTCTTCCTTCCCCCAACTTTCTTTGCAGCCACAACCTAAATCGATTCTTTAGAAAAGAAATGGTTTTTTTTTTAATAAAAAAAGAAGGAAAAGAGAAAAAATAAACAAGACTTTGTTTCTGAAGGTAGTTTGGTGGACAGGAAAGGATATCCCACTCCACCAAATGAATGCTTGTCTTTCACCTGTATCTCTTGAGAATAGTGTGCCTGACCTATCTGCTGTGGCCTGCCAATACCTCCATTGACGATGAGTCGATGTGTTAGTTTACATGCTAACAGGGATTTTCTCCCTCGAGCATGCATTTTTCAACCAACGGGTTGAGAGTTGAGCCATGATTTCAAAGGTGTACAATTCCATCCTTCTTGAATGGTATGTCTGAAACGATGTCAGTATACCGTCCTTTTCAGATGAGCTTTTACCTTGTAGCATTAAGACAAAATTGCAGAAGCTCCGTTTAGCTTTTCTACATTTCTTCTGTTCTTTCACAGATGCATCCTGGAAGCGGATTTACATAAAAACTCTCCTCCAGTTTTGGAAATTCTCCAGGTTCTCTAAGATATGGAGCTCCAGCTCGATCTTTATTAAGTTTTTTCACTTTGGAACTGAATTTCTTCCAAGAAATATTTCCCTCATCATATTCATCCACAAGTTTTAAAAAAATTCATCCTGCACCAACAGACTGATTCTTGTTGATAAACATTTTGCCCTGGAGATGACAATGATTAAATGCTATAAAACTATTCGTTCAAGAAAACAAAGGAAACAACTAGATAAAAAAGGTTATGAATAGTTCAAATCTAATAGGTAGTAAATTACCTGTCTGGGCTGATAGTCTTCTTGAAGTTCTCAAATCGCCTATGTCCTTCAACTGCCTTTGCCATATTTCCATCATAGTATAAACAAATACATCACTTTGAAGGGCAACAACATACTCTAAACCAGCCAACATGTTCCGGTGATTCTTGAAAGGATTCAGCTCATCATCTGTAGAGAGGGAGGAATGAGAGAAGATGTTAGGAAAATCCTCCTTAAGAGACTCCATACTTCCATTTCCATAAGCTTCACCAGCTACCAAGTAAATTCGAGTGCTTGGTGGGAAACCCAATGCTCTGAGCAAGAGGGAAGTCTCCCTAGGGGTCAGTGACAGCCACCAAGCAATCTTTTCTCTGTTCCATTAATCTCTTTCTCCTTCCAATGGCTGACTTCATAATGCATCCTACATAGCTCATCATCTTCTTCTGCTGTTAAGCTATGACTGCAGCCAGTAAATGCAAGCATATCCTTCTCATATCTACAGATTAAACAAATAAAAGCAAGAATATGAATCAGCCTTGATTTCTTTGCACTAATATCAAGTTATCAATGTTATTATTTATCTTGAAAGTAAAGAAGAAAAAAATACGCCCATTCTCATGACAAAAATGCTTACTCATGCCAAATGCAAACAAGAAGTATGAAGCAAGGGAAATGTAGTCTTGAAATGCATGAGAAATAAAGTTATTTTACTTGCCTCAAATGGAGAGCAAGATGGGGGCTGCCATTCTGGTGCATTCTAGAAATCAAAGTGTTTCCAAGTTCTTCAATTGGAGCCAAATATTTTAGTGCCCTATAATTTACCCGGCATCTCAGCTTTTGTATGGATTTTGGGATACCATTATTAGCAAGCCGAGAACCTGTGTGATTAAAATAGATTACTTTATGCCGCTTCAACAAAGGGAGGACCTCTGCCTTGTAATAGCTAACCTAAATGAAAGAATGTACGTTAGTTATTTACTACTAATCTCAAAATGAACCAGTAATACAGCATACAAGTATCACATTTGATATGATTGACTGAAGCAAAACCACTTGTACAGTGATATGAATGGGCTGCTCAATAGTAGGCACATTCTTTATTTTCTGTATAGACATTTGGCAATGACAAAGATAAGTTTGTACTAACCTTAGACCAAGTGACGGAAGGCCAAGTGTTGCTTTCATAACCTTAGCAACAGCAACCATATCACAAATCTGCATTCTAAAATTATTGATAATTAGACTAAAGTAATAATAAAAGGTCAGGCTATAAAAAAACAATGAAAAACACACAACAAACAGACCCAAATCTCATCTGATTCAAACCACCATTAGCATTTACGAGAATGTAGCTCTGCCAAGAAAGCAACATTTAGAAGCTTAGAACAAGCAAAAACACAGAAATAGATTGCAAGTTTGCAACATGCAAAATCATCGTGATGTCTGTGAACACACACATAGAAAGTAGGGAGAAAGTGTTAACAAAGCTGTAAGAATTCCATACTTATGTGATTCTTTGAATGGTCAATGCATTGAGTGAAATTCTCACTATTTGGTTGAGACCAAACACCTGAATGCTGGATAAGAAATGAAACAAAACTCTACATTCTTTTTGCCAATCAGAACAATCAATTCTAAGTGATTTTCATTAATCATGTTCTTCCTGCAAACCAAGCAGAAGTGAGACAATTAATATAAGACACAGATTTTAAGCTTACTTCTGTTATGTCTGATGCCACTGTCATTAAAGTTTGATCTCTGAATCACTTCCTTCCTCCCTGTACCCAAAATCGTTAGAGCCTTGATCCATTAGCTTTAGTCGATTGGTGGACAGATAAGATAAATCCTAAATTCAATGACAGAGATAGCACATTAGCAACGAAAAGTCTAAACAATGTTCTACAAGTTATCTACCATTATATGTATTGATAAAAATACATGGAGTAGCATTAAATTAAAATTTTTGCACAAAAGGTAAGAATTTAAAATTCTTTTCCAGTTATATACTCAGCATGCTTCATCCTCAACTAAAAGCAGGTGCAATTCACTCTCTGGACACATCATATAACAAAATTGAACATTCTGATGTTAGAACCCTAAGAGTCTCTAAGAAAAAATCACAATTTTCACATTGGTCCATCTACATTAAATACCATTGCAAGTCAATTTCATAAACAGCTGTAGCAAAAAACTACATAAAATTCGTAAAAGTACCTGATTTGATGTAACTGTTTCAATGGCAGATCCAAACCAACCAGTTGTAAATATCTCAAGAACACCCGAAAACAAACAAACCCCATAGAAAACCAAGAACATCCAATGCCCAAGCCTTTTCCTTTCTTTCAACCCAAAATCCAATACCATAGATTCAACACTTGGCTTCCTTAACAAACTTTTCTTTGGCTCAACCCTTCGGTTGAAAACGAACCCACAGCTCCAACCTCCGATCTGGGTGAGTTTAATAGTAGATCAATCACATGATGCACGCTCAAGTTATTGCCTTCGGTTCCCTTATTATTACCGTTACTGGAGTCAACGGCGTTGCTACTGCTGGCGATAGTCTGGGTTTTGCCATTGTTGAGCTTAAAGGAGTGAGCTCGGCGAGTCATTGGAACCGAGAAACGCGGGCCGTTAACTCGCTGTGGAACGCCATCGCTCGTGTTGTGGTGGTGATGCTGGGTGTGGTGACCCACATAAATTTATTGAACTTACAGTTCTTACTATACTTATTACCATTTATTTACTTATATAAAAGCAAGCAGACTAAGGTTTTTGATTACAACCTTCATTAACAAAAAAAGCAAAGCAGAAAAAACGATAGAGACAGAGATTTTGTCTCTGGGATTTTGGGTTCTGAAAACGATGACGCGAGAAGATTCGACATAGCATGTGTTAGGGCAGGGATGCTGCCGGGTTGGCCTCTGAAATTTTTGTCTGTTTGCCAGCCTGCCTGAGTTGTTTCATTTTACATATGGAAATGAGACGAGTCCTTTCGATTATCGTGGTCCTTCCAATTGGAAATGTATATTTACTTATATGCCCCTAAATGATTGAATTTGTGTTTATTAGATTTTTTTTTTTTTTTTAAGTTTTGACCTTTTTGGTTGAACATATATTTTAGAATTATTACTTTACACTAAATGTAGTATAAATGAGATGAAATTTGAGTGTTAAATTGATTTTTTTTGTCTTTTATATTATAATTGAGATTCAAATTTGATATTTTTAATTTTAAAATTGATTTTCAATATTGTTGAACTGTTAAACTGAATTTAAAAATACAAGAAATTCTACATCTTCATGCCTAAGGGAAAATGACATGTAAAAAAATATTTAATACAGTTTTTACTTTAAAAAAAATCATTTTAATACACTTTTTTGTTATTATATGTATGGTTATTTACATTTGAAACTTACCAATTATGGGATTTTTTTTTTAACAATCTAATGGGAGAAAATGACTATTTATTATAAAATTGTTTATGAACTAATTTCATAAAAGGCATTGGAAATTATTTCTTAGAAACAGATTTTTGACTATTATAAAGTCGTATTAATTTGCAGACTTCACCATAAAAGATTAATTCATCAGGCGAAGAAAAAATAAAATAAAATAAAATAAAACGTCTATGAAGCAAACACGAATGATGAAAATGGAAATAAATCAGGCTAACAAGTGCTACATCCAATTTGAATTGCCAGGCCACTGAAATTGACTTCAATTGCCCGTCCAGATAAAATATTATTTGTTAAAAAACTTTTGAGAGTTTTAAAGTTACTTTATTATTAGAATTTGGATAGAGGTAAAGTTAGATTTGTATTTTATAATAATTTTAATATAATGAGATTGAATTATCGTATTATTAATTAAATTTAAATATTAAATTTAATAAAAAAATTTTAATATAAATTTTTTTAATTTTTTTTTCAATCATAATTAAAATAAAAATTTTTAATCATAATTAAAATAATAATTATTTTTATTTTTTTCTTATCGAAATTAATTTCATTGTCTTTCCAAATAGAATAAACAGGAGATCAGATTCTACACAGCGGTGAAACGGTGGTTAAATGGGAAATCGTGAAGCCGTTTTTGTTTTCTATTATTATCATTATTGTTGGTTGTCGAAATATGGTGTGGAGTGGAGTGAAAGAATGATGACTAATGGATTAGCATCATCGTCATCATAATCGTCATCATCATCGTCAATCGTGTGATATCATGTTAGAATTACACGTCAAAGTTTCCACTAATTTTCTTGGATAGCAATAGAAATTACAAGAAAAATCCGTAATAGAAAATGGAAGGCATCGACTCTCCTGGATAAAACACAAGAACGGCCCGATAATATGCAAACCAAAATTCCCCATCGGATGCGAATCTAGCACAGCGGACGCTTACTTTGCTTAGCAAAAATGCCTGCTCCGTACGTGGAATTGATCATAACCAAAAGAAGTGGGAATTGCAGGTACACAAACAAAACTACAAGTAAACAGGTTGATCCCGCCACTGAAGTCAGAATCCACGTCTTGACCTGACCAAAAACTAGATATAATGTCGAGCTGAACGCTATCATCATGGATGTTATGGAGATAAAAAGAGTGAGAAGACCCAGTATTAGCCTCTCAGGCAAGGCGTAGAGAAAATCATCCTCCGCATGTCGTGCTGTCAGGATCGACAAGAACATTAAAATGGCAGCGGTGGATGAGAATAGAGACGGCGCATCTGAAACCGCGAAGATAATGAAGGCCTTTTCCCTGAAGAAGATTCGGTAGCCGCTATCAGCATTGCCGCCTGGCACAGTAATCGCAGCAGCAAAGACTACTGTTGCAATAAGTGCTACAACAACCGTGCATGAGTTGGCTGTGTCTTTCATCCATTTCTCTCCTTCTATAACAAGGTCCTTGTGTGCCTCAGTAAACACTGCAGGTTTCTTTCCTTCATGATTTTTCATCTCCCTAAAGGCTGGCGGTAGAAAATTTTCTACTGCCTGAAAATGGTAATTCTGACAGGTGAGTATTTGGATTTAATGGAATGCATTATATACAAGATGTTCTTATGTGGAAAATGATTCATTTCCGTACCTTATACCACTGTAATTTTCGCTGCATTTGCAAAGCAGCACCAGAAAACAGATTGAGTTGATGTGGAGGTGCCAAATGCCCTGCCAAATGTGAAAGATTGTTCCCAAAAATATCCAGGGAACTAATCATATAATATTTGTGCCCTTTGATTTGTTAATAAAGGTTGAAAACCTTTTCACGACTGCTTATAACTGCACGTTGGAATATACCATGCTCCTGTCTGTCAAACTTCCTGACCTTATGAGGCAATTGCTCAGCAATTTCTTCAATAATCTTAGGAATGCCAAACTCTCCCGCAAGGAGGAGTGGATTTCTGAGTAATGCCGCTGCTTGTGAGACGTCCAAGCCTGCAGCATAGGTGCACAGTAGTCTAACGATTTCAAGTACTTGATCATGCATTACTTTCGTCTCACGGATGTTCTTGACCTGGGGCACTGCAAATTATGTTTTAATGGATCAGACAAGTCTCAAGTTGAAATTTATATGTGATTACGGGCAAGTTTGGTGTTCCATTCCTAATTTTTCTACTTCTTCCCAAAATGACACAAGGAGCTTCCGCCATACTACACCAGAACACCGAATTTTTATTAGAAGGGAAATGAAAGAAACTCGACATTAATGATATTTTGATTGAAGTCTTACTAAATTGCCAAGGATCTTCTTATTAATGCACTTCGCAACGTGTTATAGCCACTGTAGTAGACTAGCGAACTAGACCAAAATTTCAAGTTCTAAAGCAGAGTAATGTTTAACCACAAATTTTAAATATTTAAGCATAAATTTGGTTTGGATGAATAGTTGGGATTCATCACCAAGGTGATTAAACACTGAATATTTATCATAATGACAATTTTCAACGCAATGATTTACATCAATGTAGAGTTAGATGCTTAAATGTCCCCCTAGATAAGCCCTCTGAGGTGGTCTAGTGCGGTTATGGGGTCGATGTGGTGGAGAGGTGCACCGGCATCGGCCCCCATCCAAATGAAGCCTAAATCTGTTCTACCTACTAAGTCTAGCTATATCAGGATATCATAGGATAATAATTAATTGTAACAAAAGGAATTTTGACCATAACTAGTGCAATTTCTTAGATAGCTGGATGTCTGCGCTTCCACTTCTGTGCTTTCAGCTGGATTCTCAGTGTCTGCTCGATTCCTGTTTTCCGTAAACTTGTCAAACCTTGGGGGAACACCTATGGCAGAAAAGCATGGTGTGAATAAAGCGTGCATTTGATGATTTGAATGTACAGGATATACACAACTCTATAAAGGGGGAAAAAGGGGACACAACTCTACAGCGGTTTAATTATTGAATCGTGTAAAAAGTTAAACAAGATTAAATTGTCCAAGGGAGAGCGGTGAGAAGAGGATAGAAACTCACAGTAATAAACAAGGCGTTACCAAATACTGAAGCCACACCCACTTGGGAAATCATATGGCTTTACAGCCAAAATACTCGGAGGAGTTTCTCCTACAAAAAACCTGCGATCCCATTCCTGGGTTTTTCTTAAGCAGATCAAGAGCCACATCTGCCAAGTCTATCCAATAACAGAAATAAAAAAAAAATGATTCAGGTTTAGCTATTGGAGTTAACCTAAATAAGATTTTCTGTGTATTCCATATGGATAGTTTCTATCGCCAGAACAATTTCTCATTAGACACCCATCGTAGAATCCAACAAGGACCAAGAGAATTAGAATTGTGACCCCAGATTCACCATCATAAGGACTTGGCTGAATGCCATCTGCGGCCGTGACTTCTAGTAGATACAGAACCATCTCTTTATGGTTATAATGGATTGCTCGGTGCAGAGGCAGTGCACTTTCTCCGCGATGGTATAGGCAAATCTGGGTTTTTGTTCACCAGCAATTTCGCTGCTTCGAGGTTCCCAACTGTTGCAGCGATAGTGAGGGCAGTCTCTCCGTTGTCGTCTTGCAATGCAAGATCGGAAGGTTGCATGCAGTCCAGTGTCTTTTGAACGAAATGATTCGACCTCCCTGTTCCAACCGCCAAGTGCAGTGCCGTTTTCAACTGTTTGGAGATCCTAGGATTATCCATATCAGCAGAATGACAGTGAAAGAATGTTGTAGCACTCTCCCAATCACCCTTGACTACTGCTTTGTACAGTTCAGGCAAGTAAAGGCCGTCATCCTCTGTTCCACTTGCCTCTGTCATCATTCAGATACAATCCAAAAACGCAATGAATGATCTTGAAAGGAAGACAGAAAAATTAACTCTTTGTCTAGCTTACCAGCCTCGTTAGTTATATCTTGGGGTACTTGCGATGAAGATGGATGGTTATTGGTATCGACAGTGTTGCGGGGTTGGCCTGAAAATGTTTCTAGCACAAATATTCTGCTGGTAGTCACACCGTCACCTGTAAATGTTGTTATCGCTCCAAGTAATTGCTGGTATTTGTTAAGATTAGTTGGTTCGTCAACCACTGTCATCATCAAACACCGACAAAAGAGAAGATAGTCGGAATAATAATAATAATAATAATAATAATTCATTGTCTGCCACGGCTTTATCTAAAATTTGCATGAATTGGTTTTAATCTTACGAGACTCAGCGGACATGCTACCGTAAAAATCGATATCATGCAGTTGTGATGGAGAGAATGCCATCCTTTGTTGCAAAACTGAACGCCCTTTTAGTAACTATGAAACAATGTTCTAATTAATTCTAGTTTCATATTTATTCTCACCCTTGTCGCAATACTATAGCCAAAAGAACACATTGGAAGTAGCGTAAAGGCTTTCCTACTTTGGAAATGATGGCCGTGGTTCAGGTCAAGATGATTAGCGGTGCCAGGAGCAATCGAACAACTTGGAATTTCTTAATTTACAATGTTTGGATGCAAAGAAACATGAGTATTTATACTGGCATACAGCAAGAAGTCTAGAAACGAGAATTGATAATATTTTAATGATATTCTTCATGTAATTCGATGCAGAGTAGAGAGTTGGTTGTTTAATGTCGTGAACTTTGGAGACAGTAACCACTTCCCGATAGCAATCCTTCGTTTGTACTTTCTTGTCTAGCGCAATGTGATTGAGACACGAACTTATCCTACGCAAATGTCACGAGGAAAAATATAATGTAGAATTATGACTTCGGGTAATGTTTAATGATCAAATTCTACTGTAGATATTTCAGCATATTTTTTACACCAAAGAATAAGCAGTCATGATATAATTAATGTGGTTCTCCTTTCATGATTTACGATTTGTTTGTAAACGCAAGCAGAAAGCATATGAGAAAATTATAGCATTTACAATTTCTGACTAGGGAAATAAGACATACACAAGTCTCCTGTGCAATAATTCAGGAGATTAAATTTTTTGGGTTAATCCCTTCCCATCCTTGGCCATTCATAAACCATTAAACCTTTAAAATCACAAGCTGTATGTAAAGGTTTCTTTTTTTCATTTAGAAAGAGAAAAAAAAGAAATCCTGAATTTGTGTTCAGCAGTATTTTATATGTTTAATCAAAGTACATCTCCTGTTTTAACAACTGAGAGCCTGCCAATTCAACCATCTGATGAAGTATGCAAAAATTTATATCCCACGTGAAAATTGACAGAAGGGCGAAAAAAGAAAATAGAAAGTAAAACAGAAAGGATAGAAGGTTGTTTTAAATACACTATCAAATTTTTTTCATGAGGGCTTCTAAATATACCAGCCAAATTTTTCTATACACCCCATCAATTTCTTTCAAAAATACCCATATAACAAATATCGATTTATCCTCTATCAAATTATAATTTTATCCTCTTTGGATTCTTTCCCTTTTCTTCTTTCTTCTTCCTCGTCTTTCGTCCTTCCTTTTCCTATACCTAGTGGAATATGATCTTTTTATGTTTTTGAAAATTCATTTTTAAGAATACCACATAATGTTTAAAAATCTATTTCTTAAAATTATGATATATTTTCGAGAATGAGTTTTTGAAATTTATGTTGTATTTTTGAAAATGAGATTTTTCGAAAATAGATTTTCAAGAACTTTAAAGGTTTATCGAAAATGGATTTTCAAGAGCCTTAAAGGTTTTTTGGAAACAAAAATAGATTTTGAAAAACTTTAAAGGTTTCTCAAAAATAGATTTTTGAGAGTTTTTAAAATGTCTCAAAAATGCATTTTCGAAAAGCTCAAATTCTGCAAAATCTATTTCGTAAATCTTAACCTATTTTTATATGCATTTAAACCAAATCAAACAAAATAACTCAAAATCTTTTAATCAATGGAAGACTAAAAAAAGCATGTACTTTTAGGGTTAATTTGATGGATTTAGGGTTAATTTGGATTTGAGATTGAAGAGAGAAGAAAAAAAAAAAGAAAAAATATTAAAGGTACGAGAAAAAATCAATTATTAAGGATGAGTGTATTTAATAGAAATAAAAAATTTAAGTTTGAATTTGAAGTGTATTTAGTAGTGGGGTACTAGGGTGTATAGAATAAAAATTATGGTGTAAATAGAATTCCCTTTTCCCTATACACCCCTAAAATTTTCTTCAAAAAATACTTAAATATCAAATACCAATTTTAACCTTTAATAAATGATAAAAATATCCATAATAGTTTATACACCCCAAACCACCTCGTATTTTTCAAAAATGGATTTTCAAGACTTATATTATGTTCTTGAAAATCCATTTTTGACAAAAAAATATAATTTTCAAAAATGGATTATGAAAAATAAAATATAACTCTTGTAAATCCATTTTTGAAAATTTTTAAAGTTCTCAAAAATGAATTTTTAGGAGTCATCCTGTATTCTTGGAATACATTTCCAAAAATATAATTTTTTTAAAAATATATATTTAATTATAAACTCTTGATAAAGGAAAAATCAGGATCTCTAATCTTGGGATCATTAAAAAATGTCATTAACAAACTGTCAAATCCAATAATAAAAATTGGTGGTCGAAAAATTAAATATTATCAAAATTTTCAATCTGCTGATAACATTGTCAGCATCAATGTTATCAGAGATGGCTCTACGATGAGGGCAGTGAATGAAGCTACCCCAACTAAAATCTTGAAACTTGAGTATTTTTACTAGTAAAAGACTCCAAATAAAAATGATTCTTGTTATTTTGAATCATAACAAGAATAATAAAAAATATTTTTTAGAAATTATAAAATATTAAAAAAATTATTTTTATATAAAAATTAGACTTAAAAAATTATATTTGCTTGTCTTAATTATGTCACGTTAGAAAAGGGATATTAATACTTATATAAGCAAAACATAAATATAAAAATTGAATAAACAAGTTAATGATTTAAATATATATATACAAATATATTTATTAAATGAATACAATTTCAAACTAACAAGTTTATCAAGTTGGATTAAACATGACATGACATAACATGTTTTGTAACCCATTTCAAAGTCATTCTAACAAGATCAATAAATATAATAAAGAGATAAATTTTATATTTGTCTTTGGAATCATTAACTTGTTCAATTACTTTTTTTATTTTGTTAATACATTCATATATATTTCAATATTATAAAACATGTTGTGTTTAATCCAACTTGATCGATAAATTTGTTAATCGTGTGATATTATATCCATTTAATAAATATATTTGTATATATATTTAAATCTTTAACTTGTTTATTCAATTATCATATTTATGTTTTATTTATATAAGTGTTAATATCTTTTTTCAACGTGACATAATAAAAACAAGCAAATGTAATTTTTTAGATCTAATTTTTATATAAAAATATATTTTTTAATATTTTATAATTTTTTAAAAATATTTTTTTATTTTATATTTCTAAAAATATTTGACATTATATTTTAATGAAAATCATTTTAAATTACAATAGTTTGTAAATAAATATTACCTAATAATTTGCCCCCACCGACCATAAATCCTAGATCCGTCCCCGAATGCTCTATAAGGTGTTCAAGCTCAGACTAGTATACATGCATACACATGAGTCATCGATGTGCCCTTTCTTACTCGATTATATGTGCAAATGGAAGAGACATGTTAATTTTCAAGTATACATAGGCATAAAAATGTTTTTGTCATAAGCCCAAAAAATCAAGAACTCCATTTTACTCACGCAAAACGAGAAAATAAAAAATGATATTCTAAGTTTCTCGAAAACTCAAGAGAAAGAACAAGTTTATGCTATGCATGTTGAAAATATCGATTTCAATTTCATTCACACATATGAGCAAGTAAATGGATTCATAAGTATATAATTAAGGTTTTTAAGTTATTAAAAGTGAAATCAAGTTTCTTGGAAATAGAAGTCTGAGAAGTTTCAAATCTTTTTGAATATCCATTTTCAAGAAGATAGAGATCCGAGAAGTTTCAAATTTGCTCAGATATCCGTTTCCGAGAAACTTCAAAACTTTTTGGATATTTATTTCCAAAAAGTTTAATTTTAGAAAGTGAAGAGAGAAGAAGAGACAACAGTATGAATGGAAAATAAAAAGTGAGGGGTGAAGTGTATTTAGTAGAAATAGAAAATTGAGTTTTGAATTTGGGGTATATTTAGAAGTCGGGCGTATACAAAATTAAATGGGGTGTAAATAAAATTCCTTAGGATAAAATAGTATTACCTCAACCAAACTTTTGGCACAGATACAGAGCAGGTCCATTGTTTCCATGCACATGCACATATACCAGTCCAACGCCTGCAACAGAAAGACTGAATTAGAAACCCACTATTTGCACCTGATGAAGCGCTTCCGAAGGAAATTAGCTTGTAATTTTTACCACTTGATTTGGCTAATTCAATAACAAAATACAACATATTTCTAGCAATGCCTTGTCGACGGGCTGATTTGGCTGCACATAAGTTGGAAACATAAACATATTTATTCAGGTGTGTTCTGTTGAGGCTGCAGAAGAGATGCTTTCACGTTCCTGCAAGAGGTTTCCATTCACAACTATATTAACAAGTAACCTCTTTATTTGGATTGATGATGGACTAGCAGTCTGAATATAAAGTGTATGCATTGTACCCCAGGAAAAGACTCTCCATGCAACAAATGCTGCATGCTGAAAGCAAGGGTACCAACTACACTTTTTAGCACTGTGCGTTTGGCATTCCTCTCCCCCTTGTTAGCCTGATAATGCGATACCAAAGCATTGTATAAGACTCTTCATCTAAAGAAAACAACAACATGACACAAGAACTGTATCCCAATAATGAAGACAAACAGAGCTCTAAATTGATTTAACCCTCACCCAACCCAAAAGAGATAACAAACACATTGAAAGCAATACCAATCTGGAAAAAAAATCCTGTTAAAACATCATACCACGACAACACATGTATGTGTCTGCCCATGCTGCCCCAGTATCGCCTTTTTATGGCATTGAACTCCGACAAAATAAGGAAAATTTCAAAGCATTTTACATGTAACCAAAATTCATATGTATTTATGAGCAATTAAGAGAACACTATTCTCTCCAACCTGCTCAGCAAATTTCCTTATTAAGTTATCAACATATCTGTATATATCAGAATAGCTACAATCAGGGACATCCAATATTCACTAATATACAATAGCAAAAATGCAAAACATTAGTCCGTCAAGGCTGCAGACACGTAGAGAAGTGGGAATTGAATCAAGTCCATTGTCAACAGCTTAATAGAATTATCTTCCTCTACACCTGATAGACCTCCATAGTAAACCTTTGAAACAAATTATTTGAAGCAATTACGTTTTTTTTTTTTTTTCACATAATTAGGTCAAAAAGTTTATTTCTTTGCATAAAAGAGAACCACTCCTCTGCATCTATATCTCTCTATACCATAAACAGATACCAAATAAGGACTTAATTATTCATTTCTTTAGATGAGTCCATTAAAAAAGGTTAAGAAATTTAATCCCTACCTTTCACCTGGTCGATCCTCCCAGTGACTTTGTGCTCTCAGCCATGCCATGCCGCTGTCTATCTCAAAATCAAAACAAAACCATCCAAACCAAAAAGGTCGTTTTGATCAAATAAAAGGAAGAAAAAGAATAATGGTTAGGAATGGCGTATTCCCAGAACTCTTCATCAAGGAGGGCCTCTCTTGCCACGAATTTTCCATATGCTAATCTTTTATGCTGGTTCAGGTCCTGATCCGACGGTTGTACCCGGTCAAACCTCAGATTAGATGATATTCAGTTTTCAAGTTGAGGAATTGACGGCGTTTGAAGCTGCAACGAAAGTTCTTCCTTTTTCTCAGTTTCGATTGATTTACAATCCATTTTCCTAATCAATTACCCAGAAACAAAAAATCAAAATTTAATTAAATTTTAAAAAAAAATTACGATGAAGAAAACAATTTTTTAAAAAAATTGAAAACCCTAAACTTTTTCTATATACAAAAAAATAAAATAATAACCAAAACCAGATTCAAAAGCCCTGATTGTTAACTTGAAGAAAGAATCATAAATTAAAAAGGAAAAAAAAGGAACTCACATAGTTGGAGAGAGGGAAATTCTTTGAAATTTGTGGCGGGGTCTCAATCCGTTGCTAGAAAAAGTCAAGAATTCAGCTCTGTAAATCGAAATGGCCGACATGGCAGCTAAGTTTTCCCGGAAATATTTTAGCCGGGAAAACTTTATCGAAACTTAATGGCTTTCCTCGTGTATCTTAAAGAGGATAAGGAGAAAGAATATCCCAAAGAAAACTTGTAATGAAATATATATATATATATATATATAGATATATCTGGCAGCAGTGTTAGGAGGAGCTGGAAATGGGGGAGGAACGAGATGAAGCTGTCGGTTGTGTCAACTGTTACTGGTGGGCCATGAAAATAGGATCTGACGAAACTATCTGAAAATGGAACCCACGGAATTTTGACACGTGGATAAGTGGTGATGTGGCATGAATGTAGAGGCTCCAAATGATTGGCGGGTCGATTGTTTGATGGTTTGTCTGAGAGATGTTAAGCAGGCAGACAGTGATAAATAACGTATGGCAAAACAAGCAGAGAAACACACCGTTTTGATCGGGAAAAACAAGCACCTGTGTCTCTTCTCACTTGGTAGCCATTTGGATATCACCGTATACTGGTGCGATACGATTAAATTTATTATATTTTTAATTAAATTTAAATGTTAATTTTAATCAAATTAATAAATTTATCATATTTTTTTATTAAAATTTTTAAATTATAATTATAATAATTTTTTAATAATAATTACAATAAATTTTATTATTATTTTTTAATTTTATCACAATCAATCTCATTATTATTCTGAATATAATTTTAATGATATATTTAGATTTAATGATAAATTTAAATGTTAATTTTAATCAAATTAATAAATTTATCATATTTTTTTATTAAACTTTTTTAATTATAATTATAATAATTTTTTAATAATAATTACAATAAATTTTATTATTATTTTTTAATTTTATCATAATCAATCTCATTATTAATCTGAATATAGCTTTAATGATATATGTATCTTTGGCCGCCATCTTTCTTCTTAACCTCACAATTTTATTTTTCTTTCTATTTTGGTTTTTCTTTTTTTTCTCTTTTTCTTTGATAACTGTATTGATCACCATTCATCACAGCCTCATTGCATTAATCACCATAAAAGAATCGAAGCACTTAGTGACGTTAATTTTATTAAACTTAACGAGAAATTTAATTTTTTACTCGAATGAAAATAAATATTATTTTATGAGTATTAAGATGAAGATTGATATAAATTTAAATTTTTATTTAATATAAGAATAAAGATAAATAATATAATAATACCCTTCATATATATTTATATTTATAAATATATATTTATAAAAGATTTTTTATTAAATAATATGAATTATTATTTTAAATTAATTAAAATTAATATATTTTTATTAAAAATATATATTAATACATATTTATAAAAAATTAAGTAAACATACAAAATAAAAATTAAAAAATAAATTCTAGCTTTTATTAAAAAAATAAAAAGGTTATGGGCATAAAAATAATCTATACCCATTAAATATTAACACGAATGAAGATGAAAATAAATTTAAAATATTTATTAAATATAAATATACAAATAAATATAATATAAAAATTTAAAAATAAGAATGAAAAATATTTTATCCTATCTATGCTACCAATTGACATTCTTCAAAGCACGTTGAAGTTACGGGCCTAAGGCATAATAAAGATTTCCTTGACAGGTCAAGCAGCCCACTCCAAAATGAAAGGGTGAGGATCAGGTTCAGGAACAAGGAAATTACAGAAGGTTTAACGTTATTATTAGACAGTAAAAATCACCATCTTCGTACGTAATTACACAGGAAAAACCACAGTATAAGACACCCATCAAAAACCATGCTGATAAGTGATAGATTGTGCAATACAAAGCCAATGGCCATCACAGTAGTGACCCCAAGAACAAAACCAAGAATTGACTAGATTTTTTTAGCCTTCAAAATCAGTTTTCACCCACTTACAATACTTGCTCTTCATCTTCTCATCAAACTCCTTGGCTTTAATCTCAGCAATTTTGGCTGCATTTGCCATGGATTCCTCTTGAACTCTTGCTATCTTTCTGCTCCTTTTCTTGGCTGTTGCCTCTCTCTCAGCTTCTAATCCTTCGTATTCCCTCACCCAGCAGCTATGCACCATGCAAGTCAGTGCTAACACCAACAATTGCATAACCAACATTGCCATGAAAATCCCACATTCCACTCTCACCAACATCTTTGCCTCTTTTGGGTCCCGCGGGGATTTCAGCATTGAAAGACTAGATTTCTCTCTTGTAAATAAGGCCAGTATGCCGAATACTTGCCCAATCAAGGAGGCAATGAGAAATGAAATATGGGTTATGAAGCAGAAGTGGGTGAGCTGAGTGTAGAAGCCCAAGAAGGAAGAGAGAAGTGAGATGCCGGAGACCATTAGGAATGCTAAACCCAGTGAAGTTGGAGGCATTTTGAGGAGAATATTGGGCGCAAGAGAGGCCCCGGAGAGGATAAAGACAGTGAAGTTCAAGCAGGAAAGGAGAAGATTTGGGAATGAAAAGGAGTTTCTAAGCTTGGAGGAAGCCATTACCGATTGATTTTTGGATTGCTATGGGTTTTGGAGAATTGAGAACTTGAACTTACTATATAATAATAAGTGGTAAATGGCCGTTGGAGGCTACAACGGCTATGAGGAGAGGGTCCACTCAACCTCGAATGATGCATCGTTCTTGCATTTTTTCCCTCTACATGGTTTCAAAAAGCGAAAAGATTCCAACACTGTGCTTGCCTTTAAAATTTTAAAGTCTAGAGTTAAATGATACAACTACAAAATGATTCCAATTGAACAGCTTTCTTAACCAAAATGAAAAAGCTAGAGTTAAAACCCACAACTTTGGTTAATATGATTAATTCCCTTTTTTTAAGAAAAATTTTAAGCATGCTTCAACTTGATCTTAACTAGGCAATGATTCTATTCAAATTTTTTTTTAATAAAAAAGCCGCAATATGAAAATAAAGGAAGAAATTATATGTGCTGGATTTTAAATCTTAAACCTACAAGATGTTATCACCTTTAAAAATGATTGCATGGCACGACTATCCGGATTCTCTTATTCAAAAACTTTGCACACTTATAAGACACTGTTAGCCAAGCAAGATAAACTGAGCTAGAAATAGTTGGATTGGGAAAGTTTTCTTAATTCTCTCCTTCATGGTTGCACCATCATAGATGTTCCTAGATTCATAGTTGCAGCTCCAAGTGATTCAAACTTTTAACAGAAATGACGAAAGCATATTTCTTATGCTCATTTCTAGCTATTTCTGTTTTAAGTGAGGGAACGAAAAAGGATACTGAAGAAAGAACCCGTGGGATTTTGAAGAAAACCTTCATATGCGAAAATAATAGTAATGAATATGACAAATCAAAATGTTCAAAGTATCCAATAAATAAAAACCATCTGATATTGTTACACCACCAAGCGCTATTGTAAACATGTGATCAATTTCAACAATAAAAAATAACCTGACTTACCAGTAATTTCACCAAGGGACTTGTAGATGGACGTGATTAACATATAAAAGGAAAGTGGAGAAAGAGAAGAAAAGAAAAAGAACTGCAACTAAAATTACCACTATAATGAAGCAAATTTCATACATGAATTTGCTTTAATGTCAGGGAAATATTTAATTTGAAAACCTGATTCATTCATGCCATGGCTACTTAATGCTTTACAAAAGAGCCACTACATTGGTGTTTAACAAGTAAAGTAGGTGTTGATCAATGTACCTCCATTCCATGCATGGAAAAATCATCCTATCAATTTCAATTCAAGCTGAACCTGCTAAGTTTGAAGTTTTGAAAAGAAAACTGTTTAGTATACAAAAACTAGAAGGGAATAATTCAAGCATAAAAAAACTAGAAGGGAATAATTCAAGGATATAGTTGACAGAAGACATCTATTCATGAGAATCTAAATGCAGCTCAGAAATGTAATAAATGAATAAAAATCATACGACAAAAAATGAAAATTTCCAAGAACAAGGTTCTGTCAAGTAAAATAAGTCATCAATAACATGAAAACAAAAGCATGTTTAAGGCAGATGCACTCACAAGCACATATTCACATGCATGTTTGCACACGGTTGAGCACACAGTGGAAAGAACGCATAAAATCAAATGCATATTCCAAGAGATAAACAGTATGAAATTCCAGATATATTGAATTTAACAGAGAGGAATAAATATTTATGTTCTTTTGACAATTTCATTTCCTACAAATTGTAAGTTTTCTCACTAGCCAACCTGAAATGCTCCTATAAACGTCTTGATCAGGAGATATACCTGATGTTCTGACAACCAATCATGATGAATGAGTCAGAATGGCCTCAACTCTGTCTAGTGATGCTTGCAACCGCCCTGAGTTCATGTTGAACAATGGTTCATCGGTACCAAGAGCCCTGTTAAATTCAAAAAGCTACACATAAGTGCAACATCATGTCTGGCAAACAAACAGAAGAGAAAGAATAAATGAATAACTGAACAAAAATGTCACTGTTAACAAATAAAGAGAAGCATGCCATTAAAAGTTCTGGTGAGTTATTAAAGCACATGAGTGATAACATCAATGACTAGATGCGAATAAATAGCTCTTGCAGTTTCCTTGGAATATCTTAAAAATAAGTTCATAGAAGATCAAGGCACATACTCTGCACAACATTCAACAAAACTGTAGGGGGTATTTTGCAAAGCTTAACATCAAAGACTATTCTTCTATTCTAGACATGAGCTTATCACTTCTTCCATGTTCTTAGATAATATTCTTAAATACAATTTCATAAAACATCAAGGAACTTGCCCTGTAATTTCTGGAAGAACATAATCAGCCCTCCACCCAAATCGAAAATCAAGGCCAGGAACCAAGCCAAGTGTTGTCTTATTCCGAATGCGAGAAACTCCATCTCCACCCAAACAGGTTGTGAGCTTCCATTTCCAACCAGTTGCATTCAACTTGAAATTATAGCCCATGCCAACCTAGTTCCAAAAATTTTAGTATAATCGTTACAAAATAAAGGCAAGCCATGCATGAAGAACAAATAAAGTTACCTACAGACTACAACAGATGTCGAATTTTGTATAGACTTCTACACATATGCTATCACTAATACAGAGTTTATCTAATCTTCCAAGCCACAGAGGATTAAGGAGAGTATATAAGACCTGGAGATTAAGAAATTTGGTCACAGGTATCTTTTTCGAAAGAAGGCGTATATCTTGATGTATAGGCTCGTAAGCAAACTTCCACCTCCGCTCAGGTGATAACGGCTTCAGCACAAGCTTTGTCTGGAAATCATTGGTTGGTGCATTGTAGAACTGAACCACAACTAAGATGTAAATATTCAACAGGTAATAATAACAACAATCTGTACAGGTTGATGCATATCTTTGGTAAAAGTATTCCTTTTTCAATTAAAAGCAACATTTTAAAGTTGAAATTATAGAAGATAAGACAGCTAAAAGATATTCCCTTCATGGGCTTATGTCCGAACTCTGAAGCTTAAATGACTAAGCTCCTCCATACATAAATTCACTGTTACCAAACAACAAGAGACCCATTGACATACGAAAGCAATAACGAGAATTATATAGCATATGGATGGAACAACTCAAGATTGTAAAGTAAAAGAATAAAAAAAAAAAACCTCCAAATTAACACCAACTCGAAATCCCTGAATTTCTTTTCTAAACTTGAGGAACAACTCAGATGGCATGAAATTTATGTTGTATAACTCATCCCACGAAGTGGGTTCTTCGCCATTAGGCGCCGGCTCCATTTTTCAACCGACAAAAGCTGAAAAACCAATCGCTATGAGAAAACCAAAAACAATAAAATCCAGTGTTAATAAAGACTTAACACTAAACTCTCAGTAGTACTTCATTACTGGAATTCTTGAGTTGAAATTACTGAAGCCATGGAGAAGTTTACGTACCTTTAAGATAGAATTGGACTACAGTAGAAGCGTATTTGAAGTGTACATACGGATGTTTGGATGGAAGGGATTTTGTCCAATGTTTTGGTCTGGTTAATGCGATGGCAGGAGAGGGAAGTGCTTCGGCAATTTCAATGAATGAGATTTCAAGATGTCCTTCTATGCAAGTGAAATTACTTCTGAATTTTTTTTCTGTTTTTACAAAATGACGATATTATCCTTCCTTTTCTTTTTCTTTTGGATTTGGAATTTGGGCTTAGCCAAGGCCCACCATGTTCAAAGACAACCAAGACTTCAACAGGATGCATAAGTGTTTTTCTTTTAAGCATAATTGAATTTAGATTCGACATCTTCAATTTTAAAATTATATTAACATAAAAAATAAAATAAAATACTTATAATATCCGTATATAACTTTAGTACACATATAAGCACGTAGCATTTTTTTTTTTTTTTTGCTGTGACTCTATAAAATTAAATAAATAATCTTTAATTTAAGTATCCAATCAACAATATTTGTTAAAATTCACCATGGAATAAAAAAGAGGGCAATTTTAAAATTATGAATACCTTTTGCTGAAGGCAAGTCCTCTCTATACCATAAATTTGACAAATTAAGATAGAGGTAAAGACTAACTATTATATAAAATAATTTTAAATGCTATGGTAAGCGAGTGCTAACTTTTTAAATTTATATACACTTATAATTTTTTTATGATGACGGACGATTAAAGACAGCTTAATCAATCAAGCTGTAGGTTTTATTGAAACATTAATATCATCTTGGATGATCAGCTAAACCATTTGGAGTGGAGCAATAATGTGAGTATTAATTTTAAAATTGAGCAATTTTTTAAAGGTATCATATTTTTATGTTGATGAGTAATTAAAAACCGTTAATCAATATAAATTATAGATTTTGTTAAACCGTTAATATCGTTTTTAATAAATTAACTAAGTCATTTATAATAATAAAATCGAATCTTTGAAATTATCACAAGAAACGTGTCAAAAAATCAACGAAAAAATCAAATATTATTGTTAGTAAAATATCGAATTTAAAAACAAAACATCTAAAATTATGATATGATAAAAATATCAGTTACTTATAAATGCAATACACTCAACTTTTAGGATAGAACCAATGACCCTAAGCCAACATTCAGTTACCTAAATGACATACACACAACTTCTAGGAAAGAACCACTGCCGAGTTTTTCTTGTAAAGTCAAAAACCCATTGGAACATAATCTCTGAAACTAGAGAATTGGACGGGGCACCATCAACATTCATATGATCAAAGTGAAAATTTCCAAAAGAAAAAAGAATATGCCTCGAACAACTCTGCAATGGAGATAATATCGAATACCGACCACTTACATGTTTCATTTATGAATGACGTGAATATATCTGAGAAGATTACCTCAAACATGGGTTCAATGAATCATTAAAACCAAAATAGATTTCAAAATTCATTCACTCTTTTTCAGGTTTGAGTTTACAACAACCAAATTTATTTTAACTTTCCATGAACATAACTTCATTCTCCATGCTATTGAATTCCCCTAGATTTGAGAAAAGATGATTGAATCCCTCTTACATAGAGAAATTATGATCATAACCCAAATGAAACTGGCAAATCCATCTGTGGGGCTGCTGGCAATGAAAGCTTGAGACGTTTTGGCACAAACTTTCGAGCCCACACATGCTTCCCATTGATGGTAAACTTTGCTTTGCCCATACCATTAAGGATCATTTCAATGGATGATGCAGAGTGAAAAACGATACGAGCAAAGAGCGATTGCTCGTTAGGCAGCACTTCTTGCATGTGCAAGGACTCTATACAATCCCCATAAGCCCTGGTGAAGAACTCCATGACTTCCCATTCATAAACGGGGTAGCCCTTAGAGAATGTGACAAACATGGTCCGATCGTCTGGTGGTACCTCATTTTCTCGGGTCCAAGGCAGACCCAAATCACCAAGACCAAATCCAATCTCAGGTAATCCGCGATTAACCATAGGTTGCTGTAAAGAATGTGACATTACCTGACTGCTATCAGCCAAGCTTTGGGCTGCATTTCTTTCAATGGCATGTAGCATAATGTCCCTTAAAGCTCTCATGCATACTTCATTCACAATTCTTGCAATACCTTGAGTTGCAATCAGCCGATTTTCATAAAAGAATTGGAGAGACAGATCCCTCTCAATCAGGCTTTGCATCAAAGCATTGTCATTGCCTTCGGACGAGGAAGCTAATTGGTCATTGTTAATGATGTTGAGGCATGTGACAGCCTCATCTGCAAGTTCATTTAGCAATACATAAGGCAACGACAATGTCTTCTGTACAACATTTCTGAAACCTACCCTCTCCAGCCAGAGCCATAGGGCTATTACCTGCATAGACTCAACAGGGTCCCGCCATAGGTTGATAACAAGCAGAGTGTACAACTCTCGATCAATTCTGTGAAACATGTTGAATTCCTCTTGTGAAACAAATGAAGACGGAGGAACCATCATGTTCAGCAAATGGTAAATAATCAGCAGTGCCTTAGCTAGGAGAGATAACCGAGAGGATCAGGAACCTGTATGATAAGCATTGTAATCACTAAATTAAAGTTCAAATTGAGATGAAACCAAGAAAAGAAAAGGGTGAAAACCATTGAAATCTTATATGCTATCGTTTGGCCATGAAGGCAAGCAGAAAGAAACCTGATTCTCAGATAGGACTGGATTTCACTTGGTAAGCAGTAAGCACCTCCCTCTACCACCAACCAGCACAGGAAAAATCAAGGGGCCCCCACAGGACAGGTTTTTGACTTCTCTTACTCCAGTCCACTCCAGGCCAACATATATCCACTGCCAATGCAAAATTCAAACAAAGGTTGACCTAGAATAATAATGTTGTTCTTACCAAAGTAATGCCTAAATACCACCAGAACCTTTGCTGGCTTTTATGTCATTTCAAGAAAGAAATCCTTTATGGAAAGGTATAATTAATGAGTCTGCAGCCTTTCTATGGTAATCAGAGTTGGAATCATTTATAATCTTTCCGTTTCAGGGTATCAAGTATTTGGCATTGAGGAGAATTTACAAATGTCTATCAAGATAAAGAACGTAATAATTAGTCACCAATCTGCTAAATGGTTTTGTTCAGGAGACATTTTGAGGTTTTATCTTTTGGTTAGAACTCTAGTGTTCATTCCATATATATGAAACTAAGAAGGAAAGTGCTTAAATCCGTCTATTTATGTACAGAATTATTCTATTCAGGAACAAAATTCAGACGGAACCCAGGATTTTTTTTGTCCTAAAATGGAAACAGCCAGCTTATGCTGTGATAGTTGCAGTTTATTCATTACTCCTTCCAAAAAAAGATGTCAGCATCTTCGTCTGCTAGATTGCCTCACCTTTTGCAGAATTGTTACATAGACTACACTTAAACTACTTGAGGGTTAATAACGAAGTCTGTTAATCAATACTCAAATTTGATATTCTCTGTTTCTAAATGAAATTAAAAGAACTGGGTTTTCCGTAAATATGACACAAAATGGTAAACTTCATTCATTTTTCAGATAAATTCAAGTAAACATGCTACTTTACTCAAGCGATTATTGTCCACACTCCACTAAACAAGCCTTCTGTCATCAATTGATATCGCTTTTTGATTTTTTTTTTTGGTTACAAAGAGGCAGTATCTGTGGATAAGGAAACACAAGTGTTAAGATTTGAATTACGAACTTGCGGGATGCTATTTTTAAAGGTGATTTTATAAATCAAATGGACTAAACCCGAGTTCAGATAATTTGACGTTATTATGAATCCATTATAACATCAATTTTGTTGTTTTGAGTGCCATATGACTACTTGGTGAGTGCATTAATGCTTGTTCAATATGTTTTCACTAAGGCTGATCAGTTATGTATCTCCCTTGTTCAGGAATCACAAGATCTGTAAACATAAAACATGAGTTTTTAGCAATAAGATTGTTCCTTCTGTCAACACTCTCACATTGGTCCGTGCATGCATCCACATGTGCGTGTACATAAATGCACACGGACATTTGAACATGCCGCCGCAACCATCATCTGACTTTCAATACCTATAATTTTGATGTAAACCCAGGAAACAAGATTGAACTGCTCCAGAACTTTCCCTAATAGTACAGAGGTAGACCGCTCTTCCAAAATAACAAAAGGAAAGTCGAAAACATTTCTAAGGTTTATTTCTCATTTCAAATTGTCTGCAACTTAATGTCTTTCGCAAGTTCCATTGCATTAGCATAAAGAGCAGAATTAGCAAATGGGATCTCTTCCATGCTGGTGAGCTATTTACCAAATTCCACTATTACCCACAGGAATCGGCAAAAATCAAGAACCATAAGGATGGCCTGAGGATCCTAAGCCACTATAACCATCATCCTCGATACAGCAAGAAAAATAATACAAACAATGGTGAAGAGGGTAGATAGGAGAAAAAGGAAAAACCGTGCTGCAATTACATGTAAATAGTGACTCCAGTATCGCTGAGAAATGAGAAAAAGGCCAACATATGCTGCTTAGAAAGAGAATGTATTTTACTTCTCGAATTATACAATAAAGCATTCTCATCATAATCTAACTAAATGCAAACATGAGATTAGTACACTGGGAATTACTTCTCAAAATGCATGTACATGGTATAGCTAACCCTACAAGTACAAGCATTAGATCAAAGCAGGAAGTGGCAACTGCCAGTCTCCAAGAATGCCATAAACATTTTGGCAACTTCCAGTTTCATAATTTTGAAAGCCAGACATCAGTTAGATTTGTCGTCCTTGTTGCCACTATGAACAGCCAAACCAGCTATGTTACCAGTTGCAGCAACAACAAACTGTCGATCAGACAAGGAAAAAGACCGGCAAGGAGAGTTTGTTAAAGCAGTCGCTGATGATGATCTGATGGTAGTTGATTTTTTACACTGTGGATGCAGAGGAGGAGGACAGCTAGACGACGACGATGAGATTGAGTTGCAGTCAGAGGCAGAGCTACTCATAGTAGCTCCAAGAGCCACTGTGTTTCGACTGGAGTTAGCTAGTCTCTTAGATATCTCACTTCCACCGTTTCTCACAGGATGATTGCGATTCTTGTCCAACAAAAAACTATGAGACAATAAGTTCTTGCGTTTCCTATTATAGGGATTGTCTGGCTTTGCGAAATCTTTAACAGAGGCAGCAGCAGCCGCATCAGCTAGACTTGTGAAAGACTTTGATTTGCCATTATAAAACTTGGATATGCCTCTTCTGTAATAAAGCAAAACCACAAAAATAACATATTGAAGCACCCAAACAACAACTGTGCAAAATCACAACAATTTTTTTAAGAAAACATTTCCCTGTTATTCAACCAATGCTTATGGAAGTGCATGGCCTTTGGTTACAGTCAGTTGGTAATCTCTACAGCTTTAATGGCATTAGATTGACAAAGAGTGCAAGTTCAAGTAGTAATTGGTGTTCAGATGTTTCACTTTACAAGTGCATCAGCTGATCATCACTTGAAACAAGTAAATTTTTAAAAGCCATCAACAAAGAAGCAAGATTGGATGGAATGCCAGAAAGAAAAAAAAAAAAAAAATTCAAGGTTTTACTTTCTCCAAAAAAATTTTACCTCATAGGCAAAACCTCCTCTAGAGCATCCATGGTATCCAAAGGTCCTTTAAGCTCGCTTTGCACTTCAGCCTCCGTTGAATCTTCACCGTCCGAAGATGATTCACAGGAAACATCACTATTCCTTCCGATCGACGACGAACTACAAGACCCCAAATCATCCTCTTCTCTCCCCTCCGCCGACAACAACCTCCTCCGATCCTCGCTTTTCTCCTCCTGCGAATCATAGACCGAGATACACTGCATCCCGTGGATAAACCCTCTGATTGAATTACTACAACCATTCCTTTCAAAAACAAGAGACATCGTGTTAGGGAACGAAAAGAGCAGAGAAAGTAAGAGAGTATAAAAGCAGGGGGTATTAATATCTGGTGAAGTGCAGATGGGCAGTCGATATTTCCGCCATTGTTGATAACACAGAGATATTGAACCGAATAAATGAAGAGGGAGAAGCCTTATCCAAAATTCTTTTTATTTCATGTTCTTTTTGTTGGAAACTGTAGAGAGAAAGAAAAACACAAAAAGAGGATTATCTGGATAATATATTTTTGTTTTGTACAAATTAAGAAAGTAAGGGGCAGGACTATGTTGTGAACCAGATTACGATGTTTCGTGTTTGTCATAGGTTTTGGTTGACTCGTTTGTCTGACGTGGACGGTTATGATTCAAGTTTGATCATCTTGTAAGTGATTGGTTCAAATAAAAAGAAAAACCTATGACAAATAAGAAAAAAAATGTTTATAAATAGTGGTCCCTATGAATTAGTTTGAGCTTTTAATTTTTTCCTCAGTTATGACCTTATATTATAAAAAAAATTATTTTTATTAATGTAATTTTAAATATTTAAATAAAAATTATATTACATTAACATCTAATTATTGTTTTTGTTTAATTTTTGGTAATTTTAATTATAAAAAATAAAAAAAAAAATCAAGAATAAGACAAAGTTTCAAATGGATTCAATCTCTTATAATCAAAATTTTTTAAAATTCAATTTCGAGCGAATCGAATCAAATTAAATAATAATAAAAAAATTAAGATTGAATATTAATAATTTTAATATAATTTGATATTATATAAAAAATTATTTTTAATTAATTATTTAATTTTATATTTATAAATATTTATAATTATTTATTTTATTTTATATTTATATTTAAAAATAATATTTTATTAATTTCGAATCAAATATAATATAATTTATATAATATTAAATTAAATAGAGTTTAAATATAAAAAAAATTAAACCAAATAAAATTATAATATTAAAAATATAAAATCAAATTAAATTCATAATAAATAAAAATTCGTTCTCATCCTTAATTACATGTCTTGCAATTAAATCAACTCTCATCAAATACTTCATTAAAAGAATCAAAAGCAACAAGACAAATCAAAAAATTCTCACGTTTAGATCGAACGGAGGCAAGCCTCTATTGGTATCCGGCGACAGTTTATTTAACACGTGGCAATCATGAGATACAAGAAGGTGACACGTTGACTTTCTGCTTTAGCCTTGCTTTTATTTTTGCCATTATTTTTATAATTATAAGAGAATAAATTTTTTATTATTAAAAAAGGAATATTTAGAATAAATTATACGATTTTTTGGCTATCAATTGTCTTCAATTTCGAGTTTAATGAGATAATTAAAACAGATTTTTTTAACTATAATTGTCTTTGAAAATTTTTAATTACAAATTTAGGTGAAAGAAGAAATCCTTTTAACAAGACAAATTCCTTTTCAATAATTCAAAAAACTTATATTAACATTTAGACAATAATAAGATATCAAATCTGATTTAAAAACCAAAAGGTTGGTCATTTTATGTAATTTCGATTAACTTGACACTTCTATCTACTTTGATTATAAAAAAATTTTAATTTAATTAGGTACCATGATTTTTTTAGTATTAATACCAATATGGTTGCGAGCCTTGGGGCCTTCTCATGTTTTCAAAACCTGTAAATTTAAATAAAAAATGGGATCATTTAAGAAATGAGAATCCTAATGATTTTGGATTAGTAACTTATCCTTACTCATGATCGCCCACTGAAACACAAGAATCTTTACCTATTTGATATTACTCGTGATCGTCCACCAAAACACGAAAATCTTTACCTACTTGATGCTGCACCCGAACAGTGAGACAACATGTCACTTCCAAGTAATGACCTAACAACCCTTGCATATTTAACACTACATCCAAACTCTGATATAGCACGTCACTGGAAGACGAGGATCTAACGAAAATTTTTATTTTGATTTTTCATCATAATTTGACTATGTTTTAAATTTAGAGGATTTGGCACACTGGATTAGTGTCATTCAAATTCTGCATCCAGCAAAGGGAAAAATTTTACTGTTATGTACACAGGTCCCAGAACATTGCCAGAACCACTCCCCAACGCAAGAAATCAAGGGATAATAGCTGTAAAGCATATGTTATCCAGTCTTGAAGTTTCTTTTAAGCATATAAGAAAAAGATTAGTTTCACTCCCAGTGTTGGGAGCAGTGGGAAATCAGTCTATACAACTTCTCCGGAAGGCGTACTTAGGCTCCCCGCTGCTCGCTTGATTCACCTGATGCCTGTGTTGGATTTCTAAGGTTTGAAACCTTCCTTTGTAATTCAAGGTTTGACATCCGTTCAACCTCCAAAGCTCGCTCAAGCTTCAGCATTGTCATAGCATTACTATCACTATATAATCATAAAGCATACAAACAATAAGAAATGGATGGCCGAGAAGTTACCTTTGCTGCTCGGGTGCTCCATTCTCCGAGAATAGCTCTCAGCCTTTCATTCTCTTCAACAAACTATTTCAGTTTTCAGCAAAATAGATGGGGTTAAGGTCAACATAGCAGTCCGATTAAAAACATTTTCAGCAGAACACAATTTTGCATAGACTAGGAATAGTTAATCAAGTCCATTTTCACTCAAAATTACCACTTGTCATTCCAAGGTATTTGCACTTACCTGATTGTTGGTTGTTCGGACACGCTGGACCTCTGCATCCCTCTCAGCCATTAAAGAACGGGCAAGTCTTAGCTCAGACTGCAGTTGGTTCATCTGCAATTCAAATAGTTTAATTGCTCAGTTTCTGACAGAATGTTCTACTATCACAATTATTTAAATAGACAATGTCAGTTGCTTACTATCAATGCCTAAAGTGGAACAATTTTAGGTGCATGGAGCAAGAAACAACAGAAAATTTTCATCTTATTCGTGTTATGGAGCATGGAACGAGTAAAAATACAAATAAAACTCTATGTCCCTAGCGTGTATCCACAGCTGTAAATGTAAGGCATATATTGCAGTGTTTGCACGCCAAATAAACGCCCCCTATTTGAATCATGTGATAACACCCCAATTCTTAACATGATAAAACATTACTCTCAGCAAAAATCATCTATTTAAACCATAAGTTAAAAAACCATTGTTAAAGCAGCGAGGAAAAAGGGCATGAGGTGCATGAGAGAACAACAGATAATATGCAAGAACGAAAACTTAATTGTTCAAAAGAATATCTCTGACATTGATAAGGAAATAAAGCAAACTGTGATTTTTCTGGTTTCTAGCAGGCAACAAGTACTAGCCTAAGAGATTATGTGAATTACCTCAGCTGAAACTGTTCGTAATTCTTGATCACGAGCTGCTAATAGATGGGCAAGATCAACCTGAAAAGGACCATTATTCTGACCGTTTCTTGCACAGATGCCAACTACTCCCCTAATTTTTCTTTTAAAAAACAAAAATATGTAACAAAAGAACATTCATCTCATCATGTGTAAAGATAGATCACCTGAGGTGTGCTTCCATCATTAGATCCTTCATATTTGCTTAAGCACTCTTGCAATCGAAGAATCTGCAGTTAAAGATATATTGCTTGTATAACAGTGGTCCGTTACAATACTGCCAAAAGATACAGGAAAATAACTATCATGAATTATAGGTATGAGATGATCAAGTACCTCCTCACTCAGAAAATGAAGGTTTTCACGCTGATACTGCAGTAAAGCCATTTGCTGGTCAGAGAGTCGACCACCATCATAATACCTGTTGTACCAAACAGAAGTGAACATAGCACATTCACAGCATTACATATAACAATTGTAATGATTTGTAATTTCACATTAATTTGTCTTGGTTTCATGACTAGTGAATCTGCAACAACCACAATCAGATATCAACAAACCAGCAAAGCTCCAGCAACAGAAATTAAACTAACTAAACCAAAGATTGAAAGACACATTGTCAAGTGATACATTCTCTCAATGCAGGCAGAATGTCTTTCACAGTGACTCTTGAAACTATAGTTTGGCTTGAATCAATAAAATTTTGGTCATTACCTCAAATCTTCCAAAGGACTTGATGGCTGAAGGGGAGAATATAATGACTTCAAAACATCAGGCTGAGAATCCAGTGAATTGTACTGGTGTACATAACCTGCAAACACCACAGCAATGCAGAAATATATAGGCACCTAATTGGATAACTGAAAAAACCTAAATTCGAAGCATGAATTATCCAATTTAACTCCTCAAATGCTTCTACATATGCATGTGAGCTTACCGATATACATACTCATAAAGAACCCAGAACATACTGCTTCAACCAACATAATAATCCTGCAAATCAAGTGAATCAAGTGGGATATTATCAATGATATGTGGTTCAACAGAGTAACGAGGAATATTCAGTTCTGAATCTAAAAAAAGGGAGAATATAGAATATTACTATCATTTATATTTCATATCAACATCTAAGTTAACCCAACATTCCCAGCAATCAATAACATCAGAATGACACGATTACAAATTGTAACATAAAACTAAATAATGCAGAATGAGCATCCAGAACTCATAAATCAAGTACATTTCAAGAGGCAAACATTTTTTAAAGCTGATGAAATTAATATGATAGGATACACAGTCACTATTTCTTTCACAAACCTGATGAAGGCTAAAAGCTATAAAGAATAAAGACTTAAAGAAGCATAATTAAGCGTAAAAAGATTGGAATTATTGCTCACTATAGTACCTGACTATGGCAGAGGTGGAAAGAATACTGATGTCCGGTTTCCAGACCATGACAAGCATCATTGCAGCAGTTCCTAATACAACAATGATGAAGATGTGACAAAAAAAATAGCCATTTATTATACAATTATGACATCATAAGTGATACAAGTATGACTATAACTGTAACATTATTCCTAACTGAAAAGGTCCCATAGAGGTAATCCACTATCTTTCATGTGGTTAAAAGGGATTATTACATCCTAATAGGCGGCTGGACAGGATTATGATTCTGGAATCAAAACAGTTGGTTTAGGGAAAACATTCACCTGAGTAGGTCCATTTCTGATTGAAATAATAGTAATAAAAGAATTATGAAAATCAAGTGCTGCCATTCAAAAATACACAAAAACATACTCACCATATGCTGTAATGGCAAATGGTAGGCGAACAATATGCTTCAACTTCTGACTGAAACTATAATAACCCTATAAAACACAAGAACGTTTAATGGTTTCTATCAAATGTCACTTAGGAAACCACTAGGGTTAGAATAATCAATAAAGTTACCTGTAAACGTATCTTCTGAACTTGATAAACAAGATATTGTTGAAAAATGCCTGTAAAAGCAAACAAGAACTTAACAGTTACCAGTGTACTCAAATCCTTGTCATAGCACCGTGCGCCTTCCATATCAAACAAGGTATAATTAATATTGTCTTCAAATCTAATACCAAATGCACCCCTTGGATGGTAGAGACCGAGAAGAAAGTACCTCAAGCAAATCAAGATAAGAACTAGCAAGATACCTGTGACTATTAAAAGAACAACATCGCAACTGCAAAGCAACTGTAAGACAAATTTCTCGATGGGCTCAAATATCCAAGGAGCTGCTGCAGCCAAAATAGCATAACCTGCCTAAAAATTTGAAAAACTATCAGAGTTTGCCTAATCACACATTGAAAGGAAAGTTTCATTATTTGATAGAAAAAAAGCAATGAACTTCAACTTGCCAGTATGAAACAGTAAAAAACACCGCCAAAGATACTCCTTGGTTTCCGGTGGCCAAATAAGGGCGCCTCATGCAGTATATCAAGGAACCTACAAATGGCACAAAATTAGAAACTTTCCATTACTCATTAGAGTAAATATTTCTCAGATCACATTAAAATGAATAAAATTTGATTCCCACAGTGAATAATTTGAAAATGATACTCCAATTGTACACTAAACGCACGTAATTATTGATAAATTTATACAGTAAAAGCAAGAAAGTGATTAGTAAGAAATGATTGACGGAACAAATTTTAAAGTTCTTCAAGCATCAGAATTGTCAAACAAAAATGGTGGTAACTGATGAAGGGGGGAAAATAGAAAAATAAAATAAAATATTGAAAATGAAGGATTGAAAGCTTACATAGCGTTTTCTTCAGGAGATGCGGGATTGGAAGAAGCTTGCCTTTCATTAGACATCGTCCACCTCTTTCTCTTTCTCTCTCTCTCTCTCTCAAAGAAAAAGCTTCAACCTTTTCAAAAATACTCTATTTTCGGTGAAAAGAAAGCTGGATTCCTACAGATTTCACAAACTTCTTTTGAGGGTCAAGACTCAGTGCTGTAACGAACGTCCACATTGGAACGCCTCCACTTGCTCTCGTTTTTGTCAAATAGAAATGGAATCCCAACAGGCCCAATAGGTATAGCCTATATTAGAAGTTAAAACTTAGCTTAAATACGGACCAAGTGGGCCTCGATGGGTCTAAATTTTGAAAGATAAAGGCCAAACCGTGACGCCCTTATCTTGTTTCGTTAGACAATAGTCAGTAGTCTATCTCGACGGGGCAGCGAGCCAGCATCACAGGCAATACCCTAGTATTGCCATTCCTTAGTTTGTTTTCATCAAAATACTCCCTTTCCATCTAACAACTCCAAAATCCTTTTCTTCACATTATATTATTTTTGTTATATCAGATTTCTTTCACCATCCATTTTTTGTTCTCATTTTCAATCATCCCAATGCTCAGTGATCGTCCAATGATCTATTTTAGTTATTGAGTGGTTGAGATTTATCAGGGGTTTTAGCTCTTTGCTGGGTTAGTAGTAAATTAGCAATTAGTTTGAGTTGCGAGTCGTTTTGCTATGGTCCCGTTTTTCGATTTCTCACCATCTCCATGAAGAATAGAGAGTTTCATCAAAAACCCAACTTTGAACCTGGGGTTCCCAATAGAAAGTTCGCTCATTTTCAAGTAGAGAGCTTTGGATATATAATTAGGCTTAGATATGGCGTGGGGTTACAGATGACCCTTTTTTCATTCACAACTCGTTCCTCAAGGGTTCGAGCCGCCTCCAAGGTCTTCATTCCTGATTTTCACATTCAATTTCATGGAGGATCTCACCCGCAAGGCAGTAAAGAGGTAAAGGCAGTCCAAAAGCATGAGGCTTGGTTCGTTAAGGTTGTGTGCACTCTCTTTGTTTATTCACAACCTTTGGATAATGGCTGTTTTGGTTATTTGAGCAAGAATTTGACTCCTTTAATTGAATTTGAAGTTGTTAAATGGTTAAACAATCCGGCATTGGGGTTGAAGTTTTTGGAGTTCAGTAGAGTGAATTTTAATATTACTCATTCTTTTTGGACTTATAATTTGCTTGTGAGGTCATTTTGTCATATGGGTCTACATGACTCCGCTAAATTAGTTTTTGATTATATGAGGGTTGATGGGCATTTGCCTGATAGTACTATGTTAGGCTTTTTTATTTCCTCTTTTGCTAGGGCAGGTGAGTTTGGTATGGCAAAGAAGTTGCTTGCTGAGGTTCAGTCTGATAAAGTGGTGGTCAGCATTTTTGCATTAAATAGCTTGTTGAATATGATGGTTAAGCAAAACAAACTAGAAGAGGCAGTTAGCTTATATAAAGAGAATTTAGGATCAAACTTATATCCAAATACTTGGACATTTAATATTCTAATTCAAGGCCTTTGCAGAGTTGGAAAAGTGGATCAAGCTTACGAGTTTTTTAATGATATGGGGTGTTTTGGTTGTTTTCCTGATATCGTTACCTATAACACCATTATAAATGGGTTATGTAGGGCAAATGAGGTAGATAGAGGTCACAATTTATTGAATGAAATTCAATCAAGTGATGATTGTTCACCAGATGTTGTGACTTATACATCAGTGATATCTGGTTATTGCAAGTTGGGTAAGATGGAGGAGGCATCTGCTCTTCTAAATGAGATGATTAGTTTAGGAATTGCACCTAGTGTTATCACTTTTAATATTCTGATTGATGGCTTTGGAAAGGTTGGTGATATGCTTTCCGCTAAATCCATGTATGAGAAGATGGTTTCTTTTGGTTGCATTGCTGATGTTGTAACCTTCACATCCTTAATTGATGGGTACTGTCGAATTGGAGATGTGAACCAGATTTTGCAGCTTTGGAATGCAATGAAAATCAGAAATATATCTCCAAATGTTTATACCTTTGCTATTACTATAAATGCTCTATGCAAGGAAAATAGACTACATGAGGCCCGTGAGTTTTTGAGAGAGTTGCAATGTAGGAATATTGTTCCAAAACCGTTTGTCTTCAACCCTGTGATTGATGGGTTCTCCAAGGCTGGAAATTTGGATGAGGCCAATCAGATTGTAGTGGAGATGGAAGAGAATAAATGTCATCCTGATAAAGTGACATTTACTATTCTCATTATCGGGCACTGTATGAAAGGAAGAATGCTTGAAGCAATTAGCATTTTCAATAAAATGTTGTCAGTTGGTTGTACCCCAGATGATGTCACTGTACGATCTTTGATATCTTGCCTTTTGAAGGCTGGGATGCCTAATGAAGCCTCCCGCATTAAAACAATAACATCACAGGACATAAAGTTGGCAAGTTCATCATCCTTGGAGAACTGTTCTCCTTCGAGGATAAATAGAGGTGTGCCTGTGGCTGCTTAAGAGAAAAGCTCCCCATCATTGAACTTGGTGTTATTCCGAAATATTGAGAAGTCTCTTCTTCATGCATCAGGTATCCAATTAAGCATATCCAGCTCGAAGCACAAATGACCTTGTATTTAGTAAGGCTAAGTCTTTGTTTTTTATTCAAGCGTAAACTTCAACTATGCAATTAACCTTCTTACAAATTGATTCTGGTTCAATTGGACCTATATGAAAATGCATGTTTTTCTGTCTCTCCCTACAAAGTTACTTGTATTAGTCTTTGTAGTTCTCTTGAAATAGAAAGTTTCTCCTTCTGGCAAGTCACTTTGTCCATTGCCCTGTATGTCATAAGGTTAAGGGCAATATTTATAAATAATGCAAATGATGCTCTATATGTGTAGAAGTAATAACACAATCAAGTTTGTGTAAAAACAACTTTAATCACTAGGCAGTTCAACTCTCTTATTAGCTGTACATCAATTCCCTTTTTATTTTTAATCAATGAAGCTCATTAATTGTAGTATTTTATTTTAATCATACTGGGGCTTACTATTATATAATGGGAAAATAATGTGATCCTCTAAGCAGGAGAAGATTTTTTTAGGATATGTGCATCTTAAGTTGGGTTAAATAGTAATTATGATGGCAAGGAAGTTTGATGCTGATGTAATCTGATTTCTAGTCCCCTTCAGTTCAATTGTGCTGCAGATTTATAACTAGTAAATGATATTTAGAAAATAAAGGAGAAGATTAATAAATTAGTACAACCTGTTTGCATCAACTGATAAAGCCTGAATAGCTAGCTCAATGTCCTGGAGATTATTATCGATTGATTGAGGTCAAGCTCAGTGCCGTTGAGGGATTTGATTTTTTTGAGTTCAGGATCATAGTTAAAGTTGATGTATGTATCATGCATGTATTTATGAATATATAATATTAGAGCATCTGCTGTTAAATCTTATTTGGAGGACTTGAAGGATTGATTTCAAGTTGGATTGTTATTTACTTCATTGTTTATTCTTAATGTATCTTTCTTGTTTCTATGGGTTGGCAGGATAGTAGAAAAGCATTTTTCCAGGTATTGGTGGAAACCTCAATGGTTTTCTGTTGTTGCCTCTTACGCTTTATGAGGGTGCTATAGGATCTTAAAAGCTGCTACATCTTAAATCTGAATTTAGTAGGGTAACATCACCAACGGATATTTTTCTTCAAATGCATTGACGATGCTAAAGAAAACTGGCATGATGCTGAATGAGTTGGAAAGTACTGCGGAGGTTAGCCATTTGTAGTTGCAGTTCAGTATGGTGTTCCATGTCCAACATGATCTCCAAACATGATAATTGAAAATTAAGCAATTTCATGTTTAGGGTAAGGAAAAGGAAAATAGATATGATCAATTTCATGTTTAGATTTTATTTTTCCTTCTTTTTGTGGGGCAATTCAATATTGTTTGATTTATTGGCTCTCATATTCTACATGCTCCTGCAATGTTTGGCCTGTACAGATGGTTAGAAATTTTAAAAAATGAATGAATTTCACCCTTTTCATTTATGTACATCAGGGGCATACCGATCATCAATAAAGGGATATCAAGTGATAAATTGTGCCAAATATTAGCTTATACTAAAATTGATTTTCAATGTTGGCAAGTTATTACACAAGCATCATTCAAAGATAAATTTTACATTATGTCAATTATTGTGGACAACACATTTGCATCTCATACGTCTTGAACATTATTGTACATCAAGCCAGCACTTTCAACTAGACCATGGCCCCTCACCTTTCGATATCGACAACTACAATATTTGTATACCATAACTAGACGGCTTGTATGACACAAAGCAACGACCTAATCCAGACAGTTTCTCAATCAGATCAAGCAACAACAGGATATGATGCACATGTTGCCACACCTGCAACCAAATAGGATATGCGTGTAAAGGGAATTAAATGATAGATATCCACTGGTTACGGTTCAAAATTTTCATATTGAATTCTTAGCTTTTTCATCATAATTCAGAAATGATATTCGATGTCTGAGATCCAATGAGGTTGGGACTTACCACACATGTTTTTCCCCATCTCCATCTTGAAGTAGCCATTGTCACCCCATTCTTCTCCCCATGAGTTCTTAACAAGCCAATATGGAATGCCGTTTTCAACTCCGTACCCAACTGCAAGAACAGCGTGGTTCACATCCTGCAAAAAACAAGGTCATGAATCCGTTTTACTTTTAGTTGTTACTGCTTTCACATCTCAATCTTGAAGCACCAATTCTACTATAACCACTAAAAAGGCAGGCAAGGCTTACTATGAAAGCTTTACTACAGACTGAACCTATTTTGGCCATATATAGAAATTGTATAACTTCATAAGAACAAATCATCAACATATATTGTTTTCTTGCCACCAAAACAAAGCAAAAAAATAACAGTAACAGAGAAAAAACTTACCATGGAAGTGCTGCCACATGTGTCACTCGTGTAAACCCCACTCTTGTAAAAACGGAAACCAGTGACAACTTGAAATGCCACACTAACAGGCCGAACCATGGCAACTGCATGCTTTAATTCATCTTCAGCACCCTGTGTTTGATTGTACATATTAGGAAATTCCAAAATATGAAATATATAATTTATGCCACACTAACAAGCATGACATAAATAGCCATGGCCAACCAACATAAACCATCAAACTCAGTCACGAGCAAGCAAGATATCTATCTTCTGCTTCATCTCAGAAAGTAAGGTTTATTTGACATCAAGAGCTTGATCAATATAAACAGCGATACCAGAAAAAGAGGAGGGAAATGGTGTGTAAACCTACCAAGGTAATGTTGACAGAGTCAATGACTTTGATACCAACATTTTCAGATGAGAATTTGCATTGACCATTTTTTGCTGTGTAAGGGTATGCCTCCTCTGTATCAAGGCCACCGTTATATTTGATGTATTCGAAGGCTTGGGATGGCAACCCACCACTGCAACCAAAGTTATTAAAGGCTCCTGCACAGTCCACAAGCTGCTGCTCAGAAAGAGAGATTCCTTTTCCAAATGCCTGATGATAAGCTGCCTCAAGCGCTCCAGTGGTACTGCAATATGCAAATGCATAATATTACAACTTAAAAATTCAAAAGCCACTCTTAGTAACTTGGTGAATCACAACTGAGAGATAACCTGAATGTCCAGCAGGATCCACAGGAGCCCTGATTTTTGACCGGGCTGACTATGCCGGATGCCCTCCAGTCTTTCTGTAGATATCATGTAGCAGAAGAATTATCCATTAAGCCAAACCCAAATAGAGCTCATAAATTTGTAGTTATATCCTTAATCACAAATACTGCAATACCAAGTATCAACTTAGCCAAGTCAAAAAAAAAAAAAAAATTCACTAAGTAGCTTTATAGAAAATCATTAGTGATAACTGGGTTCGTATTTATAGAGTTTTTTTTTTTTTTTCTTGTGAAAGTACCGATTCAGGAAGGACGACATCAGTGAGCTGGTGATTGCCCTTGGTGGTAGCAGAGCAGTTTTGAGCAGCTCCCAACCTGTGTTTTTGAAACTCCTCCCAGGTCAAATCAGCAAACTCTGCATCGTTGAATAAATGAACAAACAAACAAAAAAAAATCAATTCACAATAAACTACAAAACAAAATTGAATAAAAATTAGCCAAGTTTTAGTTGAAAAGATCAAGCTGAAGTGCAACAAATCAAGACCATTAGTTCACAATTGGTCGAGTCAAAGTAAGTTCAGTTCAGTTCGTCCTCAAATTTTTGGCCTAGTGGCTAACGAGCTCGTTCGAATTAAGACTTCCTTTCCTTCCCCGTGGGTTATGCGCAGTAAAAAAAAAAATGTTCAGTTCTCTAATACTGACGTGTCCGGCTACAGTGGAACTGTAACCAAACATACTGGAACTGAACTGAACTAAACCAGATCACAGTTAAGAAAGTCAACTCATACACTTTGTAACAAAAGTCAGTTAGGTGTCGGAATCAGACACCTTTGATTCATCAGCAGACCGTAGATATAGGCTGAAATAAACTTACAAATTAAAAAAAAAAAAAAAAAGTACGTACGATTACGAGCGAGAGTGTAAGGCAATCCCTTCTTGTTGGTGGATCTGATTAAATCCAAATTGTCTTTGAAAATCTGAAACCGTAGCTTCATCTCCTCCACATTCTCGTACCTCTTCCCATGCCTATCCAAAACAAAAAACAAAAAAATCCAAAATTTCATCTCAATTTTCACTCTTTCTTTTATGGAAAAGAAAGTAAGAGTTAAGATAACCGTCTGATGATGAAACGATTGGTTACTTGTAAACAAAACGGGCGAAGGAGATAGCTTGACGAGTATGACCAATGACACGAAGAACAGAGGACTCGAAGCCAGGGAGGCCATCAGGTACCATCTGGATGGGGTTGGAGTCCTCGAAAGTTGATGCTGCTGCCGCGGCGCAGCATAGCAGGAGGATGATCGAGGACACCAACGTTGAGCGAGCCATGATTACGTTTTCCTCTCCCTTGATTCTCTCTCTGTTTCTGGGCCTGTCTGGCTACTTCGGTGAACAGAAATTTAAAGCGGGGGTAGCAGTGTCTGATTCGTACTAATTTGGACTCACTAATGGCTAAATTAAACTCATTAAAAATAAATATTCTCCGATAAAAAAATTAGGAAAATTATTGTTTTGGAGATTATGTTTATGTCACGTTGAAAGATACCGAATTTATTACACTTTGTATGGGCAAAACCTTTTCTGTTACGTATCTATTTGTCTTTCTACTTCAGCTGACGTATTTCCTTACGTACAGTTATAAACTCCAAACGGCTTTCTACTCATTAATGCATTTGTAATGGGAAAAGTCTTACACTAAAGTTTTCAAGTAAAATTTTTAAAAATTTTATTAAAAATAATTAAATTAAAATTTTTGTTACATAAATTAAGTATGTAAAATTTTAAAAATTTTAAATAAATTTTTAGATATATTTTTGGATAGATATTTTTAGTAAAAATATTAATAATTTTTTTAGAATTAAATAAATATAAATCAATTTTAAATTATAAATAATTTTTTAAATTTTTTTATATATTATTGATCTTCACATTAAATTTTAATTCTATCAATTTATCAGTTTAAAATTTTTATTAAAATTTTTATTAAATTATTTAAAAAATTCATAAATTTTATCTAAAGAATTTTATGTAAATTCGATGTGAAATAATATATTTTTAAAATTATTTGAGAGAAGATTAATATTTTAAAAAATTAGATATATTTTATAGTATTAAAAAATAAGAGAAATTATTGGTTTTTGATGACCAATATGAAACATTTTATTTTTTATTTTACCTTTTTTTTAAAGAGATGTCACTAGAATACCATGCCATATGGAAGCTATTTTGTGTTTCTTTATTTGCGGATTGAAGGGCTTTGGGATGATATTCAAATAAATTTCAATTTTTATTTAAAAATAAATATAAATTATTGATTTTTTTGTATAAAATTAAGAACATTAACTTTTATTTTATTGTTTTTAGAGGTTTAATGTTATAAAATATTAAATTTTTTTAGTTTAATGTTGTAATTTATAGAAAACATTTAATTAGATTTGTTTGAATGAATTAAATTATAAATATTTGAAGGAATATTATTTTAAAAATTATAATAATTGAGCTTTATTCATTCATTTTTAAGATTTAATAATTATAATTATAATAAGATAAAAATTGGTATTCTTAATTTCACATAATAACATATTGATAATTTATTTCAAAATTTAAGTACAATTTTGAAATTTTTTATTTGTATATTATTCCAAAAGTTTTTATATTAACCATTAAAAGGACGTGGTGATTTGGACTGTGGCATAATAATATTAGCTTTGGGTTTGTAACCAAAATTGAAAAAACTTTGAGTGTTGATATTGCATTGGTTTTCAGATTAAATATGAGAAAATTAATGAAAAAGACATGATCAAAACTTGACATCAATCAATCTAAATCAAACCCCAACCAAGCTAAAAAAAAATCAACTAAACTACAAAAACAATCCAATCTTGATGTCCAGCTTTTTCTTGTCTATTTCCTCTTCATTTGTTTTGTTGTTTTATAGTCGAAGAATTAGCAGCCACCCCTCCCCGTCCCCACCTCTCTCAACAAAAATCAAAAAGCTACTTTAAAGAAGTAATATATTTTTTTTCTGGAAAAAAGTATAATTTTTTTTAGTTTTTAATTTACTTTTTAATTTTTTTTATTTATTACATATCTAATTAAAAAAAATATTATGTATTTAAGTTTTATTTAACTTATAATTTTTTAATTTTAATTTTAATAATATATCAACTGATTCAAAAAATAATTAATAAAAAAATATAATTATTTATAAATAAAATTGATATGTACATATAAATATCTCGTTACATCATTATTGGTAATAAAATGAAATTGATACAAATTATTTATTTGATAAAATAATCTTAAATAAAAGTGTAAATAAATTAAATATAAATAAATTTTATTACATTAATAATTTATTTATTATATAATTATTTATTAAATTTAATAAATAAATATAATCAAATAAAAATTATTCATGATTATTCATTAAACATTTTGTTTGTTTATGTCCTTAATTGCAACGAAATATCTAGGCATATAATATAAATCAAACCACTTGTTTGTTCAAAGGAGAACGAAAGATAAGGTCGATGAAGAAATATATGGACAAAATGGCAGGGTGGGTCCAGGACAAGAATGGTAGATGAGATATTTTTTTGTCAAAATTAACGAGCTATCGAGGCTAATTATCTGGAACGATTTGGTTGGACAGCAAGTCAGTGTGAGTCATCCACTTTCAGTGTACAGGATCATTCTGGATTCCCTTAGATTCCATATTGTATAGTAATTTTCTGGATGTGAAGAATATTGTCGAGTGAGGTCCATAAACGTCCTTTTTCAGGATTGGCTACTATGATAAGTTTTGATTTCAACGTCTTAAAATAGCGATTGAGTCTGTAGATTAATTTGCAGATGCCTAAGTAGTGGTTGCCTTTCTTTTTTTCTGTCTTCTTGTATGATGGGTCCGAAATTGATTGTGTAGCATTGTGGATTTTCCACCCACCAGGAACATAAACCACCACTGGGCCCAATAAGCACTGTCTATCAACTCGTAGCCCAATAGAAGTCAGCCCTTTTACTGCGTTCAACATGCAAAGAATCATGCCTTCAAAAAAAAGTTACTAATCTCATATTAATTATATACTAGTGTGTAGCCCGTTTTGTGTGGGATGCCACAATTAAATGTAACAATAAAATTGTGATTTTTAATGTTTTTTTTTTAAATTAAAAGTGGAACGATTTTTTTATTAGTAAAAACTTAAAAAATCTAGAGACTAGTCCAAAAAAAAAAAAGGTAAACTCTTAAATTAATAATTAAGCATCTAAAAGTAATAATGTTAAAATCAAAACATTGAGTATAAAAATATAATCGATAAATTTTTAATAATAGTCTATATAGAATCGTGTTCAATAGCAATGTTAATAGATATTCAATAATAATTAACATAAAATCTAGTTCATTTTCAATAATAATTAATAAAGAGCTAAATATATTACCAAAAAATAAAAGAATATATCTATGAGAAGAAACATGGAATGATAAATAGTTAAATTCTCTATTCAAGTTAATGACAGCAACAGTTTTAGCCTCCTTATACTATATTTTTGTTGAAATATTCCTTTTTCAAATTGCAATTGAAACTTGTCTGCTAATAGATTAAAGTAATTAAACAATAGGTTGTAATAACAAATTTATTTAACAAAATGAGTATATGAAACATTGATTAAAGAAATTAAAAGAAAAAATAATATGATAATAACATATTCTTTAAATTTCTTAATTACTATCATTTTGCTATTAAATTATCAATCAAATAAGAAAAATTAAACTAATAATTCAAGAAAAAAATATATTTCTAAAGGAATAAAATACCTCAAAACCAATAATCTAATCTAACACTTTTTATTTATTTAATAATTCTTTTATCATTTATTTTATTATTATTTGTTTATTAAAAATTAATATCCTTACTTAAACAAATTTAAATTTCAAACATATATATATTAAATAAATATATAAAGCATAAATTAAAATTAAAAATACTAGAGCAGTTGGTCAAAGGCACAGTTCAAACCAATTTAGGCGATTTTAACAAGGTTCAAGTGGTTTTCCAACAATTTGAAGCGGTCTGATCCTGTATCGAATGATTCACGATCAATTAAATCGGTTCAACATTGGTTCAGTTAAGCCGATTTAAAATTGGTCAATTGCAATCAGTTCCCGATCAACTGTGCAAACCCTAAATTAGGTCATGGGTTAGCGTGCAGGTCCCTTCACCTAAACAACATCATTTTACTTTTTTTTTTTTAGCAACTATATAAGCTAACAAAATTTTTCAAACCATTTTCTTCGTTTCCTTAAAAATAAAATTTTCTTCTCTTTCAAAATTTTTTCACAACCAACCAGAAGGTTTCTATTAATAACATTTTAATAAAACGCTTAAAACACTACTCTTTAATAACTCCTTTAATTTAATGTGGTATTCTTTTTTTTTATTAATCCTTTAAGTACTTAATTAAAAAGAAAAAAAAAAAGAAGAGGAATCTTCTCTTCTCTTTCTTTCTATTAATTTTTTATTAAATGGTAGTGGTATGGTGAAAAAGAAAGAAAGAGAGACGGACCACTCATCCCGTGAAATGCTTCCACTTGCATTGCTCAGTGCAAACTTTATCCCTCCCATTCTCTTATTCTTTCATTCAAATATTAAATTTTGTTACCTCAACCTTAGAGAAGCAAAGAACCTCAGTGTTCATATGACCTTTCTCTTTATTTTTTTTTTCACATTAATCGTCTTTAGCTTTAATCTTCCTCTATCTCTATATCTGTGTCATCCTACCTCTCCGTAACTCTCTCATGGTTTCATCGATTCTCTATCTCTTTTCAAATAGACTGCTGTTCCTACTACTACTACTATTACTACTATCATAGCCTTGTTGGCCACTGCTAGCATTTTCGTCGTCCACCATTCACCAGCATCGGTTTACCCTAAAAAACTTGTCCCTAACCCTTTTTTCTCTTCTCTTTTTGCTTTTAGTCATCGTTTTTGCCAAAACTCGTCATAAAGCCCTTGATCTGAGCCTAAAAGGTCGTGGTTTCCAACCCTTTAATTACCCTTTTTCACTGCTCCACTAGCCACCAATTCCAAGTACGTTTTTTATCTGATCCTGAGCTTCATCCTCTCTAAAGATCAAGCCCCAAAACAACCTAAAACCTCAAACTTTTTTTTTTGTATTTTTTGTCAATGTTTGTCCTCTTCCCAGTGGATTTGGTTTTTTCTTTCTTTTTTTATGTTATTTTATGGTTTATGTGTGTCTGGGTGGGATGTTATGGAGGATTTGGGTTTTGAGTGGTTTGGGTTAGTCTCGGTTGCTGGTTGGTGGCTTCGGTCGAAGCGAATGCTTGTATGTAGGTGGTGGTAGTGATGAGAGGAGGGGTTTTAGTGGTTCAAAGAGTTTTGTTGTTACGGCATTGAATTGGAGTTTGAAATAGGAGTGGCTAGAGATGGGTTTGTAGGGGTGTGGCAGTGAGGGTTAGGTTGGTATATTTGGATTGTGTTTTGTTTAATTTTATTTTTTGCATTTTCGTTAAGTTGATTTTATGGATTATGTAATATTGATTTGATTTTTGTTTTATTGGCATTATTTAAAAAAAATTGGCTTATTTTTCTATTATATTTGAGTTTGATATATGTTTTGATTTTGGGTTGGTTGATGTTGAGTTTTAGATTTTTTTAATTTTTGGTTTATTTTTCTATTATATTTAAGTTTAATTTATGTTTTTTATTTTATATTATTTGATATTAAGTTTGAGAATGTTAGAGAATTTTTATAGAAATTTAAAAAAATTTACTTTTTATTTTTAATTTTAGTTTTTCTTTGTATCATCGACACTTTCATAAATGGTGAAGCTTGGCTTTGGCACTACCAACGATGGTCATGGTTCTTTTCATTCTTCATTTTTTTTTTGTGCAATATTTTGTTACAAAATACCTTTGATATTCTTAATAATTATAATAATATTAACAATATATTCATATGAACAATAAAATTAATGACGTGGTAGAGAAATTAAAATTTGATCTATTCAAAATTACTTTATATATAAGTATAGGTATTAAAGTTTGACGTAAGATATATATGTATATATCATTTTTAACTTTAAATATATTTTTTAAAAATAAAATCGTAAGATTTAATAATATGATGCAGATAATATTTTACAAATTAATATGAATAATGACGTTAAATGCTTTTGCTTGTATACTTAAGTTGGAATGGCTAACAAGTATTGACTAGGAAGCCAACGACCTAGTTAGATAGTGGCAGAGTAACGTTTAGTGAGAGAGAATGTTTATGGACACTCTGTAAATTAAAAAAAAGAAATCGTGAATACATTCAAATATGAAAAAAAAAATAAATTAAATACCATAAAATCGATAAATTTATAAAATATATATAATATTATAAATAAATAGTCAAAAAAAATTATGAATCCGTCAATGTAACTAAATCTGCAAACGCTGCAAGGACTAATAATAGTATTAAGTTTTTTTTTTTTTCTCTCCTTCGCAAACTGCTGGCGCCTACGCGTTGATGACAAAGACAAACCGTTCGGCCTGAAGGGTTCCAGAAGCTGCTAACCAAAGCTTATAATTTCATATATATAAATATATCAGTCAGAAAAACCGAGCGCCAAATATTGACTTTGACTCGTAGTATCTTTTCTATGCTCCGCTGGATCCAGTTTCATAGTTTTCTCCTTCTCTTAATTGTTTCTAACACGCTTTTGATTCACACCCCCGTCTACGTGCATGCATACATTAGGTAACGGACTTCGACTTCCAGAACCCAACCAAATCTCACACTTAATAAGGCAAGCATCTTATGTATTTTATTTATAAAATATTATCTTTTTAATTTAAAATTTTCATAGTTTTATTTTATAAAAAAATCTTATAATTATAGATTTAAAATTTTGGCTATATATTATAAAGAACTTTCACGCTATCTAAATGCGAGATAAAGACGTTACACATGCTTGAAAGAGTCTAGAAGTTAAGTCATATTACTAACATCATTGTCGTTTTAAGAGAGTCGTTGGTGGTTCACCTGAAAAAAATTTTATTATTGGCTTCGTTTTTGTCATTCAATCATCTTATATTTAGGGAATTTTATCTCTAATAAAGAACTATTCGGACAAGTTTTACCGGCATAGTACGATAATTAAGATTCAAAGATTCGGGGACAAAATATCAACCATCTGAGTCATATTTCGTACTAAACCTGAGACTTCGCAGACCATGTCTAATTAATGTTACTTGCGTAACCTAATGTAAATTATTTTAATAATCCTCTTGGTATGTTAGTTGTTCGACTGATAACTCAAGGAGTAAATGATGTAAAAAAAAAAGAATAACAGTTATATGAAATTTTATAAGTGTAGTTTGTGAAATTTTTTTATTATAAATGAATAAATAAAAAAATTTATAAAAAGGTTGAATTGATAGATTGATTAAATTTAATATGAAAATTAATAATATATATAAAAAATTATTAAAAATATTATTTATAATTTAAAGCGTAATCAAATTGTCCTTTTGGTGCGTCCATTTGCCATGTGATTAATAAATTATTCACCTGCCATTTAAGACTAAACGTACTTTTGTAAAATTTATTATATACAATTTTCAAGTATTTCCCTTCTTCAAAATGTCAACAACAATTTGTTTTTTATTTATTACATAATAATCAAAGAAAGCAATCTTTAGATCGATTTGTTTTTAATTAGTGAAGAATGTTAGGAAAGAAAAATCTGCAAAGGAAATAACCACGAAACATGCAAATTCAAAACTAATTTCTAAGCAGTGTATTTTTACGTAATTTTTACGTAGACTGATAATATTGCCGCATTGACTTTCCTTAATCTGACGACATGACGAATTCAAATTGTTCTTTCAAATCGCACACCTACTCCCTCATTGACAAATTTTGCCCGTTTCACGGGTGAAGGATTGAGACATGACGAGACCCCCTGTCCTTTTCTCTCGAGCATAGTCCCTCTCACCTATTTCTTTGCCTGGATTCCATGTCAAAATTTCTCGTATCTTCTTTTCTCTAGGCCAATTTTTTTTTTCATGAATAATAATGCAATGAAAGGTGATAAGGATTGACGTAAATGATTAAAATTTAGTGTTTGAATATAAAATATTTAAATTTAAATTTTTATAATTTTTTAATGATAAAAGATTTATAAATTTAAAAAAAAAAATCATAAATCTCCTTATGAATTATCAGCTTACTTTGATCTTAAAAATAAAATAACTCCATCTACTTTTAAATTCTTTCAAAAAAAAAAAAAGAAAGGTAGCCCTTAACAAAGTCACTTCCGATTTTTTTTTTTTAAATCCACAAATATTTTATTGAAAGTTTTAAGAGTTCATCCAATAAATGAATAAAATTTATAAAATTTAATTATAAAATAATATTACGATGTGATAAAAATCCCTTCAATCACACTTCAAGTGAACTCTAAGCTCATAAGCAGTCTCTTCCTTTTTATTTCTGATTTCTGATAGAAGTAAGAAATGGATTAGCTAAAGTTGACAATAAGAGATCAAGCTCACCTTCACCTACCAACTTTTAGAGGACCCACTTTATAAGATATACATATACCCAAATGTCAACTTCAAAGAAAAATCATGACCGTCCAATCCGAATGAAGGAGGAAAAGTCCAGTTCACGCGGTTGTGATGATGATCCTGTAGTTTAATCGTCACGCGTACAAAATATTTTCATCATGTCAGCCATCTAAAACAAAGATAATACTATATTATTTGTATTTTTATTGAAGTAAATCTTCCAGAAGATATATAGTACAATATTATTATTGCAGCCATATACCAATCTCTCTTTCTCTTACGAAATATAAACAAACCCAGACTTCAAATTTGATGAAATTGTCCTCTGACCGCGGATTTTAGTGTGCAATAGCAGGTGGTGTTCTCAACATGATTAATACCAATTTCTTTAATGAAATAAACCCACACTTTTGAATTGTCAAATTTGGAGATACAACAAATAGTTTCGATTTATAGCTGAGATGCAAAACAAGCCTTGAATCATCGAGATGTGCTTTCATACGGAACATTCCACAGGCTAGAAAACAATGTCCTGATTTTCCTGTCTTTTTGTCACTATGGAAAGAGGGAAAGTTCAAGGGGGCAGGGGCGGCCGCGTCATTTTGTCTTGAACCAACTTTTGTAGACTTATGGACTCAATTCATCATTAATCAAATGATATGAAACTTGGAAGAATTCCATGTATTTATGCTTGTATAGAATGATGTCGAGAATGGTATGAAGAAAAAATCGAAGGGTGTTGAAAACCATCACAAAGGAGTTGGAAACCTCTTTCTCTCTATCGGGTTTTCAGAGCAGTTGGTGATTTGGTGTTTGAATATTTTCGATCTTTTTAAAGCCACCGTCTCCCAAACCTTGTTAAAGTCCTTCCAAGCCATTGCTCATTCTTCACCATCCTAGCGCTTCTACCTAACTTTCTGGTTCTTTCAAATCATTACCTGAAAGCTGTCAGTTTTAACCAACCACGGATAATAGTCTATACGTCGGTACAAGTTTGAAGAAGTGAAATTGTGGAATTATAGTCAGGATTCAGAAAAAATGACTGTGATGAAAATTACTTGGAGATCGATCATCCCGAGCTGTTCCAAGGGTGTTGAGAAAAAAGAAGCCAAGCCCAAGAAGGAAGTTGCAAAACAAAGTTCATTTACGAGGCTTGCAATGTTAGACTTAAGTTATCCCAGTTCAATGCTTTCGGAGGATCTGTCTGTATCGCTTGCCGGTTCAAACCTTCATGTTTTTACGCTTGGGGAGCTAAAGGTGATAACACAGAGCTTTTCATCGGCCAATTTTCTTGGTGAAGGTGGGTTTGGACCTGTTCATAAGGGGTTCATTGATGACAAGCTTAGGCCTGGATTGCAAGCTCAGCCTGTGGCTGTTAAGCTCCTGGATCTAGAGGGCCTGCAAGGACATAGAGAGTGGCTGGTGTGTAGTTTCAACTTTCAATTCAATCAATATTGCTTACATTAGGACAGTAATTGTTCTGTTTCCTGAATTCCCATTTGTTCTAATGCTTATTTCAGCTGGAAGTTTGATTTATTGACTAATAAATGTTTCTTTCTGAAACAGACTGAAGTGATCTTTCTTGCACAATTGAGGCATCCACATCTTGTGAAGCTGATCGGTTATTGTTGCGAAGAAGAACATAGGCTACTGGTGTATGAATATATGCCTAGAGGTAGCTTGGAGCATCAGCTATTTAGAAGTATGTTCTCTCTGTAATTACTATTCTGCTTTAGAAAAATTTTGTATATGCAAACAATAAAAGAAATTAATGTCAAATCTCCTTGTATGCAGGGTATTCAGTTTCACTTCCATGGCCAGCAAGGATGAAAATTGCTCTTGGAGCTGCCAAGGGTCTTGCCTATCTCCATGAAGCAGAGAAACCAGTCATATACCGAGATTTTAAAGCGTCAAATATCTTGTTAGACTCTGTAAGTACTGCTTTTTCAAGTTCTTATATACCGCATAAAACTTGTCCATTTAGAACTGTAACATGGGTTTTCTTCATTTACTAATGTTACGTTTTCCGACATGTTCTTTTTTTTCCAGGATTACACAGCCAAACTTTCAGATTTTGGTCTAGCAAAAGATGGCCCGGAAGGGGATGACACTCATGTTTCCACCAGGGTTATGGGTACACAAGGCTACGCTGCTCCTGAATACATCATGACAGGTAAAGCATCAATTTCATATTTTCATACAAATTAGAAATGTAGATTTGCTTAAAGCTGATATAATTGTAACTGTTGTTTTAGGTCACTTGACAGCAATGAGTGATGTATATAGCTTTGGAGTGGTACTTCTGGAGCTTTTAACGGGGAGAAGATCTCTAGACAAGAGCCGTTCCCAAAGAGAACAGAACTTGGCAGAGTGGGCAAGGCCAATGTTGAATGATCCTAGGAAACTTGGCCGGGTAATGGATCCTAGACTAGAAGGCCAATACTCAGAAATGGGGGCACGAAAGGCAGCTGCATTGGCTTATCAATGCCTTAGTCACCGGCCAAAGCAAAGACCAAAAATGAGTGATGTGGTCAAGATTTTGGAGCCCCTTCAGGACTATGAAGACATCCCAATTGGTCCCTTTGTTTATACGGTTCCAACCGAAAGTGGTTCGCCAAAGGAGGACGACACTAAGGAATGCGAACCTAAAATGGAATTGAAGAAAGAGAGCGGCCATCATCACAAAAACCACAAGCTCTATCATGGCCATAGGCATCAAAATAGATCACCAAGGATGTCTCCAATTCACTCGGAAAGGGACACTGTAAAGCAAAATCTTGGAAATGAGTCGAATTCTCCCTTGCACCAGAAAGCTAGGGGAGCGTAGAGTATAGATTAGCACAACTGTAAATAAGCGGCAACTAAAGATTGCCTTGGATTGCTCACTGTGGCAAATGTTAAGTGTAATTTGATTCATTCAAATACAAGAATTTTTGTTTTTTGTTTCTTTTTTCTTGAAATGTATCTGAGATGGACTGAGTTCAATTCTTTATCAGGCAAAAGACTAGTTCAAAAATGGGTAATCACCAAGCTATGTTGATCAAAAAGCAAAATATTCTAAATTGGCAAATACAGCTAAGCATGGAAACAACGCGGATATACGGTGAGGGATCAAATTCCACTAAACTACTTTGACTGAATCGCAGCCTTATGCTTGATGGGCTGTCGCCAATAATTAAGGGAAAAGAAACAAAGTTTAACTGCTACATCTCTACAATCGACAGGCAATTACAAATTATTCAAACATAGTCATTGAGATTTGAGACACGATGTGTCAATAATTCCTATTTACAGAATCAGCAGCAATATGATGCAAACCATTAAGCCTCCATTGAACATCATCGGTAGTCTCATGAGCATGATTGTAAAGTCTGTGTTGTTTCTTTCTCTTCAAATTTGGTAAATGAGTGCATTTCAGGCTATGCATAGAAGAATTGAGATGAGTGCCCTCCCCTTAAGCCTCTGCACAGCAGAGTTCAATTCTTCATTCCAGCCTATAACTTCTGTTCAGGCCACAGAGCTTCCATATCTCCTTCCAAATACTTTTGTCAAGAAACCACAGCCAAAGAACAGGTGATCCCTGGTTTCCAACTCCTTTGGCAGAAAACACTACTTCTCTCCGTTTCTAAAAATGGCAATGAAGCGGATATTTCCCATTTTTTTTAGATATTTTTATCCGAAATATTTAATATTTATAATATTTAAATCTATTTAAATATCCGTTTAAGTTTAATATTATTATTTAAATAAATATTATTCGTTAAAATATCTAAATTTATTAAAATATTCATTTATTAAAAAATTTTATTAAAATATAAAATAAATAAAAATTTAATTTAAAATTTAAATTCATTCTTATTAATAATAAATAAAAGTTATTTGTTAATATATGAAATCTTCTACGAGTATAAAATTATATATATATATTATATACATATATAAATAGATAATAAATTCAAATACGAATTCAAACATCTATCACTATTTATTAAAATTTAAACAATTTAAATATTAAATATTCAAAAAAAATTTACCCATATCCACTTCGAATTTATCATTGATAGTAAATTTTTAATTGATATCCATTAATTATCTAAATGATAAATATTTGTATATTTACTACTCATTGCAATCCCTATCCACGTCAATTCCCAAAGTTAACAGTATCCTTTTTAAGAAGTATGTTGAGAATTGCCATCCAGGAAATGAGAACACGCCTAGGAATGACACACTGTGACCACAAAAGCTTATGCCAAGCCACTTTCCTCTGCCAAAGGGATTACCAGCCATTTGTTGAAGAATTTTTAGGCAGTATTTGAAAAATATCACCGGTGTGATTCAGAATAATGCATTGGCCTGTGTGTGGCTTGCTTTCCATAAATTAGTCTCCTGCGTTTATTTCTATCCAAACAAAAATAACGACAGAGCACTCCAAATAAAATAACATAACTCCCAAGAAAGCTTTACACTTCAAGCTTCTGCTTAATCCAAAAAATCTCAGCATTGCAGTCCCCACCATGTCCACAGAGAAGACAAGTTATATTAGCAGCATGGATTCCCCATGAATTGATTCTCAGCTTGGTTAAAAATTCCCAACCAAGAAAATGAATGACATCGACAAACTTACAAGTTTGTCAAATCAGTCTGTCATCTAGGCAAAGATTAACATGTCTAAGAAAATCTGAGTTTGAACCAAATAAACCAGTGTCAATGAACCTCTATTTAATTATATCTGCCTGATGGGATCCCAAGTTCAACTGTTTGGTTTGCAATATTTCTTTGTTAAAGTGAGACCAAATAATTGTGTTTAGTAAAATGTTCCATTCTTATTACTTGAATGACCAAATTAATTATTACCGTTCATGCGTGCGTGAATTTCGTTCTATTTTCCTAAACATACATCTACGTTGTAATGTAACATACGCATTCAAATAATAATTATTGTCAAAACAGTATATTTTTTATTATAGATAAATGGATTAATATTATAAATGACCTTAAATTATAGTAAAATATTTAATATAATATTTAAATTTTAAAATTTTTTAATGTAATACTTAAATTAAAAATTTATTAATTAACATTATACTTAGAAAGTTATCTATCTATCAATTATTATTATTTGAAATTAATTACATTAATGATAATAATTGATGATAAGTACTATATTAGTTTACAAATTTATAATTCAAATATTATATTATATATTTTTAAAATTTTGATATCATATTAAATATTTTATTATAATTTAAAGATAATTCGTAATATTAACCCATAAATATTCAATCCCATTAAAAAAATAATAATAAAGTAAAATAAAGCCTAATTTAGATAAAAATATATTTTTATAACATAATTTCTAACTTTTTCTCTAAAAAAACATAAAAATTTAACTGATTCAAAAACCCAATCTCTATTAAGATTAGAATAATAAAAGGATAAAGTTTTCATTGTATTTTTCATTTTTTCCTTGGTATTAGTTCCTGAAATTTAAAACGTTCATTTAATTATTTTAAAATTTATTTTATTATTTTTTTCTCATAGCCATTACTTTTTTGTTTATTTTTATTTTTTTCTTCATTTTAATTTATATTAATTTTCTAAAAATTTATTATCTCTCTCTAAAACTAAATCAATTCTCTCTCCCAATTTTTTCTTTTTTGGTTCCATGTTTGTTTGCATTTTGACCCCTATTTATTCAATTGTTTAGATTTTTGCTAAATTAAAAATACTATTTGTTGGGAATGTTTTTAACTAAGTTTTTGAATTAGTAAATTCTTTTTCTCTTTATAACCAATCCAATTGTTTAAAATCAAACCAAGCTATTAGAGAAAGAATTGATTTTATTTAAAAAAAAAAGAGAATAATTAAAAAAAAAAACATATGAATTTAGATTAAAAATTAAAAAATTAAATAAACAATAACAATTTTGAAAAAAAAAACAATAAATTAAATCATAAAAAAGCACGCGCGTGCTTTATTCTCGTCGTTTCACCTGCGTTTGCCTCTGCCCCCAAAACAAAAGCAAAACGATCTTGTGCCTGCCCTTTACAATCGCGACCATGGCTACTCTAGACTCCGATGTGCCGATGCTCCCCGTCGGTGAGGCTTCCAGCAACTCAGCCCCTTCCTCCTCCACTAAGAAGCCTAAGCGCTTCGAGATCAAAAAGTGGAGTGCCGTGGCCCTCTGGGCCTGGGGTACCAATCCCTAAGCCTAACCTAATATGCTTCCTCTATATTCTTTCATTTTAAAATTAGTGTTTTATTGACGCTGATTTGGCTGATGGATGTAGATATTGTGGTCGATAATTGTGCAATTTGCAGGAATCATATCATGGATCTCTGTGGGTTTTTCTGTCTTCATTTTATTTTTCAACTTTTTTTGCTCGATTTATGATTTTTTTCTAGGTTTATTAATTCTGATTATTTAAATTTGGTTTTTCAGGTATCGAGTGCCAGGCCAACCAAGCCAGCGCCACCAGTGAGGAGTGCACTGTTGCTTGGGGTATGTTTTTCTTTTTCCACTCCCCGAAACCTTAAGCTTACCGAAATTATACAGTACAGTAATGTCTTAGGCATGTTTCGTTGTTGGAATTATTCAATTGAGTTTGCCATATATATTCTTGATAGTCATATCTCCGCTTTTGAGTTGGGAATTCTTGAAAGGTATGTTAGGGTTACTAAAGGAGTACTCTTAAAACATATACTACTAGTTGTTTGTTTTGGATTGTGTAAGCATTGTTTACTTTGGGGACTAGTGCTAGGTTGTTTGGTTTCGGTATACTTCGTCCCAAACACAGGGTTTGGGATTTTAGAACTTAATTTTGGACTTGTAGTTACTGATTTCATGAAGTGGAGGAGTGAGCGTTGTTGTCAGGGTGTAAATGAGAACGAATAAGAAAATTTTGAAGAAATTATGACGACACTTTTATGTTTTATTTTATTATTAAGAACATATCCAATAACTATACCTTTTAATATGCAAATGGTGATTAATGCATTAAGTTTATGGGGGCTATTAGATCGTTATTTCTAATGCTTTGGCTATGATAATTTACACCTAGTTGCATCCTGATACATTATTTTGTAGATCTGCTTAAGCAAGTTGACTTTTGGGCTGGTTTGCTTAATTGCATTTGATGTTTGTGCAGACTTAGCAAATTTCAGATTATTTTGTACCCAAAATCCTTCTGATTATTTTCTCACTTTTGGACTGGGCCAATTAGTATGAACTATATTGGTTGCCCTTCCTTTGGTGGTTTCATATACTTAGCCAAAAGGGTTGATCCCTACATTTTATTAGCATCAAATGTGAATAGAATTCCATGACTACACTAAGTGAAGGCCTCAAGAAATTAATTGGGATTTTATGGCCTTCTGTGTAACAGTTGTTGCTCATCTTACATATAAATGTGTATGTATTGAAGGAAAAATGCCTCAACTCATCTATGATTGTTTTTTCTTTTAAAGAAAACACATAAACACTAATATTTCCTGACCTGTGCTCTAGCTTCAGCATGCTTGATCAGTATTTAATTGCTTTTTTTCTTTTTTTGTGTTTAGGGGTCTGCAACCATGCATTTCACTTCCACTGCATCAGCCGATGGCTCAAGACTCGTCAAGTGTGCCCATTGGGTATGCACTTTGCCTCCCTATGCCTTATTTTGCTGGGATATTCTGCCGCATTCTATTTTTTGCAACTACGTAATGTCTGCGTCGTTTTGCTTTTGCAGATAATAGTGAGTGGGAGTTCCAAAAGTATGGCCACTAGATCTCTTGGGTTGTTAGCTATTGAACCTCTTTACCTTTCTCATGTGGTTGAAGAAGTTTACACATTTCTTCAGCATTCTGTTGATTTGACTGAAGCTGTTGTAATTTTTTAGAAAAAAACGTTTGGCTATATTATGACTTGGGGATCAGAATTTTATATGCACTGAGTACGATATGCCCAATTTTATGAAAATTATCCTTCTTGTGTTAATCTCTCGTTCTCTCCTTGGATGTGGATGCTGATGAATGGCTTATCACGTGAATATTTTTCCATGGTAATCAGTTTGTGCATGAAATGCAACCCCTGTTTTTGTTGCAACATAGATTAAAAGTTTTACCATCATCTCCACGGGAAAACTTTCCCCAACGCTTACACCCCAACAAAATTTGCTAGGGGTTGAAGATGTAATCTAAAATTTATGCTCCTGGTAAATTTTCTTGTTGGTTCGTTGCTCTTCCGTTGTTCTGTTAAGGCAGGTAAGTGATAGCTGTTTCTTTTTTTTTCTTTTTTTCTTTTTTTCGATTTTTAAGCAATGAAAGAAAAATGATTGATAGCAATTGAATGGTGTTGATCTCAGTCCCCAGATCGAATTTTGTTAAGAAAAGAAGTAGTGCAACAGATAAGACAAGTTATTTGCCTCTAAGCAATTTGCCCAAATGGGTGGTTTGGCGCTGCCGCTCTAATCCTAGTTGATGTGGATGAAACCGAACTTCTATTAAACGTCCCAAGTCCGAAGGAGTAGTGGCCGGGACAGGGCCCTTGCTTGTTCCTGTTTGCTAGTTGCGTCTTTGCTGTGGGTCTTAGCAAGCACACGCCTTAACCACTAGGCCAAAGCGTCAGTTATCCGGAGCATGTCACTATTGATATTCTGCATTCATCTTTTCCTTTTGTTCCTATTATAGATTGATGGGTGCACTTGTCATTGCAAACTACCGAATGAGTACTAACTATTCCTTTCATTTCATTCATAAAGCATAAATATTTCATCCCGAAAAGATTCCTATCGAACCGTGGCATAGAGCTGTGATCTACGGTAGCACCATAAGTTTTAGAAGGAAAGTCGTATCAGCACTTTTGTCAACTTCTAACCGTGTCTGCGCCACTCTACTGATCTTATCAGTACCTTTTGTCACTTTGTAAATGATAGTTTGGTGCCCATACTATATTGCCAACTATTGGATTGATGTCGACTTGCCCTCTGCCAGCTCCCACCCCACTTCTCCATTACTTTGTAAATGCTTTTTGTTGCATCTGCGAACTTCAGCCAAAAGTCAACACCACTCGATTAGAAAGTGCCATTGTTAAGTATAAGGGTGGTAGAAGGTTTCTGCAACTGCACAACAAGCTGTGCCACTGCAATAGTACTCTCCTCAAATCATGCTCATTTCTTTTCCAATTCCCTTTAAGCTTTTTCTTTTCTTTATTTGTCTCAATTATTATGCAAAGACCCCATAAGATTAATAATCCCCTCTCCCGGGATACCTGCATTGGGTGCATGGTAATTGGAACCACCTCCAATTCCCACCAAACTAAACATACTTCAAAGATAATTCACTCTTTAATTTCTTAGTTTGAATTGGGACCTCAAACATTCTTTATAATTAGAATACTACAAAATGAAGTTTTGCTAGACATTACATGATTGTTCTTTTTCATGATCAGAAGAAAAGATTTTTATGACAAGAGTTGGTGAAAGAAGCTAAAAAAAAAAAAGGAAAGATGGTTTTATCAGTAGCAAAAAACATGTCACGTTCGTTCATACGAACTTACAAAATATTATTTATTGTTCACATTAGAATAGTCATGATAAGATCAAGACACACCAAGACAAAAGATGACTTCATGTCATGTGGCCTTCTAATTGCAATAACACAATATGAGAATATTATTAGTTTTAGAATTAGAAAGAAATTGACTGTTGCCTGCCCCGCCTGCCTTGGTCCAGTTTGTTTTTGAATAGAGAAAATGAAGATTATGTGCCAAGAGATGACTTAATTACTCAACCTGTTCCTCTTGTTAAAGAAATGGGGTGGGGGGGGGGGGGGGCGCGATGAGCCTGATACTTGTAAAGAAGAGAATATGGACAAGAAGTGAAGCTAATAATTCTAGCCGCACTTGGGCAGTTTCATTTCACACTGAACAAAGGTCAAAGGAAGGGGGTACGTGCCCAAAGTTAATTAAAGACACCTAAAAGCTTCCCATGGACAACCATCATTGTTTTTATTTTTAATTCAATTAAAGAGCATTTATAAGTACTGGTTACGATTAATTAAAATATTATTTAAAAAAATTATATTTAATGCATTTTAGTTACAAAATTCAATAAAAACAATACATTTATTATAATTTTTAATTAAATATCACCTTAACAGACATTATTAACTAGTTATTACTATTTTAATTAATTTTTATACCAACTTGGTTTTAGATTGTAGTAAGAGATTGAAAATTATTGGAACACCTACAAATAGAGTAAGTAGTTCTTTCCGATGTGCCTGTAACACCAAGTTAGGGCAGCGATGCGAACCTCCCAATCGTAGTGCGTGATTGCTTATATCACAAGAAATAAAACTTTTAGCTGAAAGCCGATCCTATAATAGAAAGAAGGGTATTAAAAATATTACGATCCAATAATGGAAAGAAGGGGAATCACGATATTCAATGAAGTTATAAAAACAAAAATGGGGAACTTGATTAAGATGTCGATGGGATAGTACTTTTCATCTTTATTTTTATTTTTATTTTTATTTTTTTATTCATTTTTTAGAAAACAAAATCTTAAAAGAAGCGAAAAAAGACTAAAGTCGAACCCAATTTATATTATATTTATATTTATATTTTTAAATTTTTATTTAAGTGCCATACGATTGACATCCTTTTCGAGTTGGCCTTTTTACTGACCGACTTTATTCAATATCTAATAAAAATTAGGTTATTCCGCTTTTCCTTGACCGACTAAGTCCAAGGATTTCACCTATTTTTGGTGTGGTGCGTTTTTGTTCATTTTATTTATTGAATTTAAATATTAATTTTAACAAAATTAAATTAATAAAAAATTTTTAAAATTTTTTAAATTATAATTACAATAATTTTTTAATTACAAATATAATAATAATTATTATTATTTTTAATCTAAATCAATGAGATAGAATTGAGATAAATAAAGGGAAAAAAAAATCCCAATTAGATATCCAAGTGGGTTATAATAATCGAATTTTTTAGAGCTGTCGAATTTTGTGGAACACTACTAATCGAATTTTAAGTTTAAGAACTCTCCTTTCTCTGTAATCCACAGCCAAGGCCTCCATGGCTTCTTCAAAGTTCTTCCTTAGCTTCTTCTTCCTCGTACTTTGTCTCAGAGTCACCGCCAAAAAAACCTATATTGTTCACATGAAACATCAAGAAAAACCTCTCTCTTTTGAAACTCATCATGATTGGTACACTTCCAGCTTGCAATCACTCTCCGACAGCCCAGCTGACTCCGTTCTCTATTCCTACACTGCTGGATTCAATGGCTTCGCTGCCTCTCTCGATCCAGAACAAGCTGAATCTCTTAGCAAATCAGACTCAGTTCTGGGTGTTTATGAAGACACCATTTACACTCTCCATACTACTCGTACCCCGCAATTCCTCGGCCTTGACGCAGAGTTGGGGCTCTGGGCTGGCCATAACACACAGCAACTCGAACAAGCTTCTCGGGATGTGATCATTGGTGTTCTAGACACTGGAGTTTGGCCAGAATCTATGAGCTTCGATGACTCTGACATGCCTGAGATTCCTTCAAGGTGGCGTGGCGAGTGTGAATCAGCTTCTGATTTTAGTCCCAAGCTTTGCAACAAGAAACTCATTGGAGCACGAAGCTTTTCCAAAGGTTACCACATGGCCGCTGGTGGTGGTGGAATTTACAAGAAACCCAAAGAGATCGGGTCCCCACGTGACAAAGATGGTCATGGCACCCACACTGCCAGCACTGCCGCTGGTTCTCACGTGGCTAACGCTAACCTCCTTGGATACGCAAGCGGAACTGCTCGTGGGATGGCAACTCACGCGCGCATCGCCACCTACAAGGTTTGCTGGGAAACTAGTTGCTTCGAATCCGACATTCTCGCCGGTATGGATCGTGCCATCCAAGACGGCGTCGACGTTCTCTCACTCTCCCTCGGCGGTGGATCCGCACCGTATTACCGTGACACCATCGCCATTGGAGCCTTCACGGCGATAGAGAAGGGTATTTTCGTCTCTTGCTCTGCTGGCAACGGCGGACCTACTAAGGCCACTCTTGCCAGCGTGGCACCTTGGCTTATGACCGTTGGAGCCGGGACTTTAGATCGAGATTTCCCGGCTTATGCCGTTTTAGGAAACAAAATTCGTTACAACGGCGTCTCGCTTTATAGCGGTCAAGGAATGGGAAAGAAACCGGTCGGTTTGGTTTACGATAAAGGCAACGGTTCCAGGAATTTATGTTTGCCCGGTTCTCTCGACCCGGCTTTTGTGCGTGGGAAAATAGTGGTTTGCGACAGAGGAACGAACGCCCGTGTGGAAAAAGGAGTGGTTGTGCGCGACGCTGGTGGGGTGGGGATGATATTAGCGAATACGCCGGTGAGTGGTGATGAACCGGTGGCTGACAGTCACTTGCTACCGGCGGTGGCGGTGGGGAGGAGAGTCGGTGACTTGATCAGGCAATACGCACAATCCGATCCTAATCCAACAGCTGTGCTTGTATTCGGTGGGACCGTCTTGAATGTGCGTCCTTCACCTATCGTTGCTGCGTTCAGTTCACGGGGACCCAATATGGTGACGCCGCAGATCTTGAAGCCGGACGTGATTGGGCCTGGAGTCAACATATTGGCTGCATGGTCAGAGGCTATTGGGCCTACTGGGTTGGCGAAGGACAGGAGGAAAACCAAGTTCAATATCATGTCAGGTACGTTATAACGGTTATGTTCTCGCCTGTTTTTAGTTTAATTTTATGATACATAACATCCATCTTTGGTTCATATTTGGCTATTCGCCATGTTCAGTTGTTGACTTTAGCCAAATCTTGGTCGTTTCTTTTTCTGTTTCAAAAATGTAGGAACATCAATGTCCTGCCCACATGTCAGTGGGCTAGCAGCATTGCTCAAGGCAGCTCATCCAGAATGGAGCCCAAGTGCAATCAAATCCGCTCTCATGACCACTGCCTACACCCAGGACAACACCAACTCCTGTCTGAGGGATGCTGCTGATTGTTCATTGTCGAACCCATGGGCTTATGGTGCTGGCTATGTTGACCCCCAGAAAGCCCTTTCTCCAGGACTGGTATATGATATCTCTACAGAAGATTACATAGCATTCTTGTGCTCACTAGGCTACACCATTGGTCATGTCAAGACTATAGTCAAGCGCCCTAATATTACATGTTCCACGAAATTCAAAGACCCTGGTGATCTGAATTACCCATCATTTTCAGTCTTGTTTGGGGACAAAAGGGTTGTTCGATACACTCGTGAATTGACGAATGTAGGCCCTGCAAAGTCCATATACGAAGTGACAGTTAATGGCCCGTCATCTGTTGGGATCTCAGTTAAGCCCAGGATACTCATCTTTATGAACGTAGGGGAGAAGAAGAGGTACACAGTGACTTTTGTTGCTAAAAGAGGGACAAGCCCAATGGCTAAATCCGAATTTGGTTCAATAGTGTGGGGCAATGCCCAAAACCAAGTTAAGAGCCCAGTTTCTTTCTCATGGACATTATTGTGAGCATTTGAGCGTTCCAATTCTGGTTTTGCCATTAGGAGAAAACCAGTGCAATTGGCCCTCATCCAAGGAGAAAAACAACAATCCATGGACCCTCCTCTGGTCCTGAAGAAAAGGAAGGATGGAGATGGATAGAGTTTGGAAGTTTGCTTTGTTTGTGTAATGGAATGACATAATACCAATTTGAAGATAAAAACCTTGACTTCTTCATTTGTTCATGAACAAAAGTAATCCTGATTGCTTTCTTGATTAGTTGATGGTATTAAAATGATTCCTTCTTTGCCAACAAGTTCTTTCCAATGGAGCCCCCATTGTTGTAAATGACTCGTTAGCAACTATTGACAAATAAGTTCATGGAGCATTTGTGGGGCGGATTCGATGAACTAGCACACACAACACAAGGAAAAGAAGAGTGGACAAGGATGGACCCCTAGGAGATCTTTTTAAGTGCAGCAAGTCCAACCAATGTCACCAACTGAATAGTTTCAATGTTTCTATCCTTAAGCATATGTCTTATTCAGTCTCAGATATCTTTGAACTTGGACACTCGAATAGACTAGGAGGGTCTTTGCCTCGATTTTACGGGCCTCATTATCCTGACTGAACAAGGATGGCAATCACCTCCAACTTGAATGGCTAGCCTTTAAAAAACTGATCGAAAGGACATCTCATCACATAGTTTAGTTACGATTTTGCAGAAAGAAAAGCAGAAACCATAAAACCATTCGGAAATTGGCGTGTCAAATTCAATTGTTTACATCCATGATTGTCAGGTTGTAGGTCCACTGGTTGAAATTTGGACCTAGAAAAGGCCCATCATATACTCTCACTGTCAGCTATGACAATTCCTTCAATCTTCCCCAATGTAACTATTAAACGAAAAGAATTCGCCATCTTCTCACTCTTAAAAGCTATTGACTGGCTAAAATTGAATAACGTGTTTAGGATCAAGGTTTCCGAGCATAATTGCATCGATATATTATTAGAATAATAAGCAGCATGGGTTACAACAGGTTTTTGTACAATTGCGGCAAGGGCGTATCTTTGGACATTTAGGACAACAGCATTTCCATCCGCAACAACAGCAATCGGTGCATGATGGAAACTGAAAAATGCAACAGTTTCGGCTGCATGAGATCTTTCTACAGCAACTTGATTTAGGACAAGAGCAACACCGCCATTTTGGAATTGTGCAGCAGCTTAAACATGAATTGCAGTTACATGAATAGCATTTACATGAACTGCAGTCACATAAGCTGCATTTGCATGAACTGTAGTTACATGAGCTGCATTTGCATGAAATGCAGTCCGATGAGCTGCAGTTGCAAAGATTACAGTCAAAGCACCGTGGGCATTTCAGATGACAAGAGTGCCAAGAATAACAGCAACAGCAGATCCATGACAAGTTAAAGCAGGATAATCCACTGCAAAAGAATGGAATTCATGTCATAAAGCAGGATATGTAGGGAAGTGAAATACTTAATAACAAAAATTTTGGTTCAAATGTAGAGATACAATATTGACACTTAGATATACACAAGTTCGCAGTAGGCAACATGTATAAACATGCAATTAGGTGAGGTTTCTTTATGATAGCTATAATTATAAGTGTTTTATAATAGATCTTGTGTCCACAAAATCAAATTCCTTTTGAGATAGAATGAACTTCTAAGATATAAAGACAAAAGCACAAGAATTGGTACCAAAGCCACTTCCAAAACCGGTATGACTTCCGATTCTTCTGGCTTCTGCTTGAAGAGACAAAAAAATAAAACGTAAGGCTTACATCCTCTTCTAAACCTTACATAAAAATTTGTGAGAAATGACAAAATGTTTAGTTCTTACGTAGGTATTAGAGGATCTGAGTTTGCCATCACAAAATCTGTAACCCTGAGAAGAAAAAAATATCTGCATAAAATAGATTCTTTGACAAATGTGAAACTTTATCAATAGATAACCCAAAATATTAAAAAATGCATGGATGAACTATATCTCAACCAAAATTTTTGATTGACTAGAAGCTATTCAAGGTAATTACAAAATTGTGCATACTCTTTGCAGTATCTGGAAGCAGACTGGAGACTTTCAACAGATTTTAGCTCCTCCTGTTAAAACATAAAATTGTCAACAAAGAACGCAATTAAATGACTTTATAGGAAAATTTACTAAAATAAAACTAAATATGGTTGATTTAAGAGGATGAATTCTTTTGCAAGTGTACCACACAGTACACAGTTCCAAAGGCACATGATTTGATGACGCCATCATCTCTTGCTAGAATAAAAACAGAAAGTTCTCTAGCATCAACAAATCCAAATCAGTCGTTCATTCAGAACATTTTATATCTGCAACAACATATTGTTTGAACCATTTTTTTAAAAGCAAAATTATTATGCGAACTTTTTAAAATTTGATGCAAATTCATAGGTTGATGATACATTTTACAGGGAGTGAACCATCTACAACAAAAGAATATTTTCAGAAATTTGATGCACTCTGTACTACGCTTCAGTTGCAAGTAACAAATTTACATTACTGGTTAATCTGATTCGAAAGACTTACATAATTCAAACATTAACCAAAATACATGAACAACAATCGACAGATTTCAGTGTTTGATGAGCCAAACCTATCCTGCTTTTAAACAGGGGAATCAATGCTAATAATAATGTTTATGGTTTTATACACAAATAATAATCCTCTATTCCTCTACAGCGGTGTGCAGATCCAGAGGCAGACTACTGCTACACTCACCAAGCGGGTAGGGTGACCTGAACCGGCTCAGTAGTAATGCATGATTCAGCTAGTTGTTAGGGACTAAAGTCTCCACCAAAAGTTACTATGTTAGAGAAAAAAACATTTTCCCAGTTTGCTTTTTTAGCTAAAGGAACACACAGTAAATTTCTTCCTTTTCATGTTTTCAATTTAACGTTTACCGGCATCTTTCCTTTTGATCCATAAAACTCTCACCATCCAGAAACATAAATATCGTTGACTCTCTTTCCATTTTGGAATTTGAAAGTAAAATTGTTTCAAAATACGAAGAAATTTCTTTATGTTGCGTTGGGATTTTCCAATTTAAAAGGGAGAGAATTAGATTCTAAAATTTGGTTCAAAAACTTTGTATCCAAACGTGACATTAACTTTCATGTATAAAATAGGAAACTTGAAATCTTACAATTTGCACTAGCAACTAGCAAGCACAACATCGTAAGTTCATTTTCTTATCCTAATCGATTAAAAAACAAAACCTTAAGCAATTTATGCATACTAACATGTCAGTAATTAATTTAGAACTAAACACAAAGCAATCCAAATTAAAACACACCTCAAGAAAACGAATCTCTCTCTCGAGCATCTGAACCTTAGCCGTTTCCCTTCGCTTCCCATACAAATCCGGATACTCTGGCGGCGATTTCGGACATGGTGGAGGCAGAGACGGCACAGACGAAGAAACACCTGACCTGGCAGCCATTAAATTCCTGGTGCAACTCGGATTCTTCCGTCACTGCCAGAAAGAAGAATGCTGGCTTTGTTTTTTCAACAGTATCATCCTCTCACTCCCGAAGAAAACAAAACAAGAAGCAGTGTAGTACTACCAGAAGTAGAGTATGGAAACACAGGAAGTAAGGCAGTCACTTCTTTTGTATAGCATAAAGGGTTAGTAAGAGACAAACAAGAAGCGGGATGTAATGTTAGGTGTGAAAGCTAATACGAAAAAAAGGAAAGCATTTTTTGGGGTATGGCAGTGGCAGAGGAGTAATTAACGTTTCTGACAAGGATAATTACGACCCAGAACAAGAAAGACTCGGCAGAAGCAAATGTTGGTGCAACCAAGTGAAAGTAAATGGGGCTTGTGGCTGTGGAGGTTATTTTTTAAAAAATAATAATAATAATAGTCATTGCTGTAGTTGAAGTTGCAGAAGCAGAGATTAAATGGGGATTTAAAGGATAGACAAAGGATGATAAATATGATGAAGGCAAAAAGGGACTCATCATTATTAGATGAAGTCACAGAGAGTGCGTGGAGAAAGAAACAGAGATCTGATCGTTCTTGGGACACAACCTTTGTGCATGGTAATAATGGCAACAGTAATAATAGTAAAGACGGCTGTGAAAAAGCCTGCAACTGTTTGTACGAACTCATTTAAGCTAGAGTTTCAGTCTTTCCCAGAGAGTGTTTTCTTTTTTGATCTGTGTTTTGGGTGGTGAAACTATAACTTAACTCGTATTAAAATGAAAAGAAAAACACAATAACAGTTATTATGCTTAAAACGCCATCTCAGCTGTATAAATTTGTATATATTGGCTGCATTATTTGGTTTGATCAGTCTTCCTGGTGGGTGGGGATGCAGAATTGCAGAAGGCAGAGACGCGAAAAGCACGATGTAGTACCTCAGATCGCACGTGACATCTGCGTAGGAAAGAGAAACAGGCTAAAAAATATTTTTTTAGAAAAAAAAGCTTTGGTTTTTGGGGTAATTGCATTGTTCAACGACGAATCAGCCCTCACTTAGAGAAAGAGAAAAATAGTGGGGAACAATAACTAGTTAGTCTGAGGTAAAAAAAAAAAAAAAGTCAGGTAATGTAAGTTTTTATTTTTTATTCCTGGGAATTGCCTTTTGCAAAAGATGTTGAAATTTTGGAAAAAAAAAAACCCTTTGAATCATTGAACAAGTGGGAAAAAGGGGTCATTCTCTGACTATCAAAGGAAGAAATAAGGTAGATTAAGTCATAGTACGATACAGGGTAAATTCCAATGTTATTTTTGGTACAGTCACTCAGGAATTTTTATCTTTACCTCGTGTTCGTTCAAAATTAATGCTCTTTCATCTTTTCCTCCTCTCTGAGTTCCCCTGCACCTCATTTACTATTTTCTTTTTTCTTTTTCCATTTTGCAATGGGATATTTGACATCAGGCAAGGCATTTATAAGAGCAAATTCTTAGAGAGACATTTCTTTATCAGAGTTTTATTGATTGATTATCATTGAATAAGTAAAGGAGAAAAAAATCTAGTTTTGTGGAATTTGGTTCTTTTTTTTTTGCAGTAATTCCTCCAAATACTTATCATTTGTTAATAGAAAGTAAAGGAAATTGTAGGGTTTTTAAAATCAACAATGTACTTTTAAGGTTTGCTCATATGCATTCTTCCTGGAAAGTTAAAACTATTAGTACTAAATGAAGGGAAAGTGTGGATGCAGCTCTGGCTGAAAACCCAATATTTTCAAATTTCTTGTGATAAGAGAGGCCCCAACAGTGGTTCTACAAGGATATTCGTTGACGGTGCAGGCAGTACATGATTAGTGACTTTTTTCATAGCACTATCATGTCGTGCCCTCAACTATTCTTCTGAGACTCTGGCTTCTTCCACTCTCGGCTCTGCCTCCTCCTGCTAGATCATATCCAAAACCCCTGACAGTGATGATCTCCTAACAGGATTTTGCTTCAATGTAAACAGTTGAAATTTAGTACGACAAAAGTCAACTCGGTTAAGAAAAAAAATTACTAACAGTGAATTCCAAAATCATTGTCACAAAATCGAGGGTTGGTTTTTGAATATTTTAGGGGTCCTTGTTGGGAAGAAAACAGTAGAGTAGAGGGGGGCAGTTCCCTTGTCTCCCCAATATCTGCACGCCCACTTTTGCTCTCCCTTTCATGGTTATTGTAATAGCATCAGGTCTCCCACCAGACCCCGATTAAAGCTTGTGGTTAGGGTTCCCATTCCAGCCTAACTTCCCTTCCAGATTCATAGCCTTTTTTATTTAGGCTGTAGTGATCTGCCGGGTTGGTCTCTAGGCTTGAATACAATGGCAGTATCATCGGAAACAATCATTAAACCTTTTCAACCAAAATTTTGTTAATCAGCCAAAATTGAATTTCAGCGATACTAATTCACATGAATTGCTGTATCAAAAGTATCCAACTGAATTTATTTGCATTCATACCAATGAATTCATGATAATCATGTACAATTTGATGACCGGAATCATCGTTTCTACCATTTTTTTCTGACAAACTAAAATGGCAAAATCATTTTCTTTCAATAAAAAAGGGAAAATCATTTTTTTCTGAAAGGTTTCCGTCCTCCCAAGTCACTGATTTCATGCAATTATTCAAACAAACAGACCCTAGTAACAAAGCAACTCCCAGTAGTTTTGTGCTCGTAGAGTCTGAAAGGTTGAGAGACACTTTTTCCACGCGCACTCGGGTGGCGTGATAACACACAACTTGAGGTAGAGAGGGGGCCTCCACCGCCCCACTGTGGGGTCCTGAATCTCTGTCTGAATGGAGTGGACCCGATTTTTCGGAAGAGAAGTCATCTCACTTTGATGCAGACTCTCAACTCGTTCTTTTGCAAAGTTCAACTCCAACAAACACGTCAAGGTAACGAAGTACATAATTTAATAATTAATTAAAGGAGAAAAAATAAATTAAGGGTAATATCAGAAATGTGATCAAGTTGGCGGTGCATGTAAAGTGGGTTGAAGATAACGTGAGCAGGTGCGACAATGGTGGACTGTTTGTGTTTCAGAAATGAACTATCATTGTCCGATTACTCTTTTGAGATAGTGATGTTAGGCTTCCACTGACGACAACTGCAGTACAAAGCAAAGATCTTTTTGGGTATTTTCCAATTTCTCGATACGCCCAAGGGGTGGCCTGCTACTAGCTCGGCTATGATCTGATCATCAACAGCTAGACTCGTTCTTGGTCATTACACATCACATCGGGTTGGGTTGAAGCCCAAAAACAGAATCCTTGGCCCGTATGGGCTGACAGTCTATAATAACTTGAATTTGGACATCAATAGCTTTATTGATATGTTACAGCCCATTATAAACAACGGAACCGAGCATCGATTTGTGCTCTTCGTGTCTTCCTTTACTGCCTTTTTCCCCTCTTTCAATTTTTGGCAACATTAAGTTAAAATTGATGATATCGCCTGAATTTCCAAAAAAAAAAAAAAAAAAAGTAAAAGATTACGCAAAGAATCCTATTCCTATCTCACTTGAAAGGATTGTGTTTGCTTCACAGGTTCATCAAACAGGCGTCAACTGTGAAATAGTTGCTCAACTACCAACAGATTAGTGGGGAACTGGATAATAAACCGTCGGTGCTACCAATCATGGCTAATTCCCAAGTTTTCTTCTTTTAATCAATCGCAGCTTCATATTTTCAAACAACGAGAAACAAATAAACAGAAGAGTAATTGATTTTAAAACGCAAAGAAAATCATATAATTCAAGGGAAAAAACGGTACCGATATTTCGTACAGGAAATACCGGTACAGTATACAAAGTAAAGAAAAATAGTATAAGTAGAACAGTGAAGAGAAAATGGTGTCAAGCGCAAGCGCAAACGTTCTCCGCCGTCGTCTCCTCATCAGCGCACCTGAAAAACAAGTACCCAACAGCGAGTCCCAAAACGATGGCCAAGAAAACGCCTCCGTTGAACGACATGATAGCCAACATCAGGAGATACCCGATCGCCGAGTTGATTCCGAAGAGCACGGCGGTCGCAAGTGTCGCGGAGCGGCGGTGTTTCTGGAGGAGAGGGACGTCGGCGCCAGCAGAGGAAGGTTGGGATGGTTTGGAGGAAGCGAGGGATCTGAAACGGAGGCGCCGATCTTCCATGTACTGGTAAAAGGAAGAGAAGAGGAAACAAGCGAGTAGAGTGAGGAGGTAACTCAGCCATGAATCGGTCTTCCAGGAATCGATGAGGAGAGTTATGTCTTTTCCCCAATATAAGGTCATGTGCATCATCTTCGTTTTTTGTTTGTTGAGTGAATCCCAAAGACAGAAAAAAAAAAAAAAAAAAAGAAAAAGAAAAAGAAAGAGGAAGTATTGAAGAAGCAGGAGGAAAGATTTTGGTTTCTTGTTTGAGAAACAAATCTTAAAATTTGACAGCGTCTTGGCCTGGTCTGGGATTTCTGAAACCAATCTCGTTCTATGATGCGTTTGCCCGTTGGAGTTTGTATTTACGATTATGGCCTTAATACGATGTGCTTACCTAAGCGTGGAATAATTAAAGTTCTAAAAGAATGGGACATAAAGTGCCCGAGTGCATGCCGACTGTCGTCATCTTACAGGAGTTAGAGGTGGTTTTAAAATAAAAATATTCACATAATATTAATTTGTAGATTTTTTTTTTAGATAAAATCATAAAATTTAATGAAATTAAAATAGATAATATTTTATAAATTAATATGATTTTTTGTATTTGATATTAGAATTGATTCTAAGTACCAATGATGTGTCATTGAAGTTAAAATTATCGTTGAAACAAAAAAAATATTATAATCTTATAAAAGAGTCATAAATTTTAGAACGATTATGTATTAAAATTAATCTTAATTTTATATTGATTATATATTAAAATTAATCTTAAAATATAAATATTTACATTATTTGGGAGATATTTTTGATAAAATAAAATTATAAAATTTAATGAATTAAAGTGGATAATGTTTTATAAGTTGACGTTCCCCGTGACACTGGGTGTGGGATGGACAAAATGGCTGCTGGATTTGGATAAGGGATTAACTACAAAGCAGCATTTCCAGAAAAAAATGGTTTGGATGAGTTCAGAATCGAGACGCATATTCTGTGTTCACAAACTGAGCTGACAGTGAACAATTCACTGCATTGGCAAGAAACACTGTTCCCTGTCCAATTCTAAAGCACTGAATTGTTCATAAATCTAAATAGTTAATCACAAAGTTGAAAAACAGATATTGAGAGATGGGTGAAAAGGCAACGACGAAGAAATAGCAAACCAGAGGCCTAAATCAAGCAAGTTCAACATTTAAATATAATCTTATTAATTAAAGGTATGCATTCCATGGTTGTCAAACCATGTGGGAGAGACAGCATGCTAGTAAGAGAAGAGAAATGAAGCCAACACAAGAGCAAGCGCAATCAGTGATACAAATTGAGTTTGAGACCAAAGATATTGAACAATGTTCTTTTAAAGCAACAGGAAATTTGTAGCATGGGAAACTTGCAATTCTACCATGTAACTATTTTTATATACTTGCTGTTGGTGAAGATATGACAAGTGCAGTTTACATAATTATTCCAACCAAATGCTATACAACAATCTGAGCAAAATTTATCCTCCCATTTCATTGCTCATTCTTAAAATGGAAATGCACTAACCACCGGGGGACTGAATTCTGTCAGTCAGGTTCAGAAGTCACCAATGACAATATGATAGAATCAAGGCCATAAGTCTGTCAACCTAAACCTACTGACAAAGCACCCATGGATGTGCTCACCCGAACAATGAGAAATGTCAAGTAGATTATTATAAGTCCAACCCCTAGTGTCTTGCTTGGGCGCATATCATTCCGGGGCAACACAATGAAGGACCAAATGAGCCCCATAGCTAGAAATCCCATTGTAAAAGACAAGCTACTATCTCGAGGAACTATGTATGGAGCAGGTCTCTTATACCAGGCTCCGAGCACCAGTGAGATCCCCAAACCAGCAAGGGTGTTGAACATAGGTCCTGCATAGCATCCTGACATGGCAATCTGTACGCTATCCCCATCATTCATTGCCAGTGCAAAATTTGACATCAAATCACCCATTGAATTGCCCCATGCCAATACGGTCAGACCAAGGATTGATGGGTTAATCCCAAAGATCACACCTAACGCTACCAACAAAGCAACAAGCTCATTTGCAAGAATATAAAACCAGACAATACTCATAAAAATCCTCCAAAAACCCATGGAAGCAAAAACCTGTGAGGTGGCTGATCAGATGCGGTATATAGATATGCAGGAACTCCAAGTATACCACCGAACATAACACCAATAAAGTATGCAATTTCCTTACTCAAAGGACCTGCATCGTCTTGAATGTTCCACAAAAAAGCCAGAAGAATCGGTGCCAATGTAGCACTAGCCACAGCATACCCCTTGGACCATCTCTCCTCTTCTACTATAGGAATTGTCAACCGTCTCGGAAGTGTCAATGGCAACTCCAACAATGAAAGAAATTTAGAACAAGAAAAGGAAGACCGATCTTTCAGTGTTTCCTCATCATTCCAACCCCATATCGGTTTTGGACTGTCTGCAGGCTCATTTGAATAAATTGCCACATGAGATGCCCACATCCAGTGAGGTAACCTATTTTCAAGACACGGTACATCACTTTTTGAGTCAGATTCAAGCAGTGAGGCATAGATAGAATCCCCCTCTTCATCTCCATGACAAAATGTACCCCCTTTAACTGGTAGCAATGGTGTTACATAGCCCAACTTAAACATCCGAACGTTTATCCTAGCAATCTCATTGAGAGCAACCGCAAGTACATAAATCACATAAAGTAAAACAAAGAGCAATGCAGTTCCAACAGTCACCTCTCCAACAGTTAAAAACAGAAAAAGCCATATTAAACTAAACAGAAAGAAACCTATATCCCTGACAAAGGAATTCCTATCAATCTGAACCCTCCTCTCAGCTATACAAAGAGAAATAATCCCAACAACAACACAAGTAACAAAAACAGCTCCTCCCAACACACTATTAATTCCTACCTCCCCTGCGTCCTTACCCACAAAAGCAGCAATGCTGGCAAATACATCAGGAGCACCATTCCCTAATGGCAACAAAGTAACCCCAGCAACAGTTGGTGACATTTTCAATAAATTCGAAAGCTTTTCCAAAGTACAACAGAAGTAATCCGCTGCAGTATTTCCCAATAAATAAAACAATGCAATCAACCATATAGCCAACACGGCAAACCCCAAAAAACTAAAATTTTCACAACTACAATATAAAAACTTGATATAGTTGAAAAACCCACCAGCAGTACACTCGGGGTGGGCAATCAAGTACTCACATCGGGTTGGATAACCCTTGTGTTCAAATAATCCAGAGCAAAATTTGGGATCTCTAGCTGTCAAACTATCTGCAACCAATTCATCAACTTGGACATTGGTATCATTAGTTTCTATAATTCTTCTTTGGATAACGTTAACCTGATCACCAAACCCACCTCTGGGTTTCACTAAAAATGAGTTTTTTAGAACATTTTCCTGAGTGTAAAACAAGAAAACTAATACCAAGGCACAAATAGAATGAAATACTTCACGAAATTTGGAGCGTCTTTTACCACACAAAAGAAGCGGTTCTATCATATTTGAGTGCCAAGCTTAACAGGGAAATCAGATGAAAGAAACAGGAAACTGGAAGGAGGTTTTTGTTCTAGGATTTCAATTTACAAAACATGGGATAGTCCGAAGAAATGGGAATTGGCAAGGTGTTAAAAACAGGGATTGGACAAAAGGAAATTAAATTTGCGGGAGAGGGAAACAAGAGAGGAAGCTTCAAGGAGGTTTCATCGAGGAACTGCTCGTCTGATGATGATATTTTGGGAAAGGCAAAGGACAATAATAATTGGGATTTGAGAGATGCACTCTGCAAATTTGATGGGGAAAAACAATGAGCCGTGGTGCGTCAGCGGGCGTGGAAAAGGCTGTGTCGTTTTCGGTTTTCACGCGTTGCGTAATGGGGCCTGGACAAGGCATTGGACACCGACAAAAAATCTGGTCCGCTACTAATTTGGGCTGTTGCCCTTCATTTGGTTGTGAACTTTTGATTGAGAAAACAAAAGATTTGTAGATAAGGCCACTACAAATATTAATTCTGATGCTTTGCTATTTGCTATTTGCTATTTTGCATTGCAGGTTCAGATCAAATGATGTTCGAGGTACCGTACTAATCAGATGTTTTGCACGGATAATTTGGATTGACTTACTATTGCCTTCGATCATATTCCTAATTGTTCAGCATACTCTATGTGTCACAGTTGATCTGCTGATTTTTCCCCCTATCATTGGAATAGGTTCCCCATGAAATGATACAACTAATGAGCATGTTTGCTTCCCTCTCTGACAAGTGAAAACTTCCATGCTTTGTACGTGCACATGCATTTAGGTTTACCAACAAATGAAGCTGAGATAAATGGTGCTTTTGGTGGAGAAAAAGCAACTGGCAGTGGTCGTGAAGCTGGAAGTGACCAATGGAGGCAATACATACAGAGTTCCTCATGGTAATTTTTCATTCTTCATTCGTAGTTGTTAATCATGTGCTACTCTTCATAATGACTCAAACGATTATTGTCCTTGGCAGTATGATCAATTATGGAAATGAACTGCCGTTTGCTCAAGGGACAAATTTAGGCCAATGAATTGGATTGTTGTGAGGGATGTATGTTCTGTCATTTGTCTGTAATCTCTGATCCACATACTGGGTCAACATTACCATCCAAAATCTGCTGTCAAGGTTATGCTTCCCCTGGCAGTTCCTGTACCAGGAAAAACCATAAACGAACAGCCTGTACCAGGAATCTACGTTGTTCGTCTCCATTTTCCTTTCAGTGTGGGTTCACTTAATAAATCCCTCCACCAGAAACGCAGCAATATTGAGGTAAAGAATTGTTAGGATGACCCCGATGACGATTCTAGTAAGGCTCTAAGTCTCAATCTCAGTTCCCACAGGCTTTACTTTCTACCATAATTTCTTTGAAGGTGGACTTCAATCAGTCGAAGGGAATGCCAAATTTATTATAGGTTAGGTGAAACTACTTCAAAAAAAAGTCCAAGGGACGAATCCCCCACTTGACCCATGAATCCAGGGAACTGCTGAAACAGAGCTGACTAGCCGAATCAGGAGCAGTAATCTGGCCTAATAATTGCTCTCTTGTCACATCTTTATATCCTCGTTCTTGGGGCAAAGATTTTTCAAAAATGTCAGGACAACTCTAGATATTTTTTCTTTTTGGTTGGGAGGGTTTAAGTTGTTGCCAAAAAAGAAGACTAGAAAAGAAAAGGCCAAGATAATTTTATTTGATTGTGCACTTGCTAATTGAAACTGCAGCTACAGTCCCATCTGGCTAATTCTGCAATGTTCCAAGCCATAATATGACAAGAAACCTTGGACTTAATCGACCAAATGCTGTAATCTGTTTAATCAGCGACCAGATCTGTACTAATAATACTCAGAAAATGTTATGGGCCGAGACTACAGACTACAGAGTACGGACCCCAAAAATTAAGAAGACAAGGGAAAGTGCAGAAATTATCGTGATGAGTCTAAGCGTGGTTCAGCTTCTTTCTTTGTTTATAGGAAATTTCCTTGCACTTCCATTTTCTGTTATCATTTTCCTTTTGTGTTTACCTTTTATGCCACAATTTCTTTATCTGCTTACTCTCTTCCACATAAGGCACTTTTCACAGCTGGCCAGGTTGAAATTTGACTCAAAACCAGCTCAAACACCACCATTTTCATACAACCTCACATGCTGGAAGATTCTCTCTACCAAATCTTTTCTCCTAAATATTCAAAATTAAGACAAACCGAACCACCGTTCATTGTTACTCAAGAACAATGTCATTATTGTAATTGTTATCAGCTTCAGCTACAGTTATCTTAAACAAGTGGGTATTAAGTTCACCTGGGACATTAAACTGTGCCTGGATTATGCTCAACAATAATGCACTAAAAAAAATAAAAGAACACAGGCTAAATATAAGAAACTTTGAAACCTGAAGAAGTTCATCAGATATATGCTATAAACACTGGATCTAGAAGGTCCATAAATTCAGATGCCAAAACATTATAGCAATAAAGACCCTGTATTTGTAGTTTATATAGCAATCTGACATTGAAACAGAGTTCCTTTGTTTCCTTTTTTTCTTAATATATTTTTACCTTTAAACTTGAGAAGAATAATTCAGCTAGAAAGAGCTGAGAAACAACTCTCAGATCGAACAAGAGAAGGAACCTTGACTCCTTCAAATCCCGGCAAGACAATACTTGAATTAGACCTAAGAGCTCGCGGTGAATCCAGACATCGACGAAGAATCCTGCCCATGGCAGAGATGGGGTGCTCTGTTTCATCCAAAGGACTCGACGCTCTAAACTTCTTGCAGAAACTGATGTGTCGGTCCAGTGCTTCCTCGATGGAGATAACCGTATCCGATCTCAGAGCCTCATCCTTGACCGCCTCTATGCAGAGCCCACAAATCCAACGGCCCTGGTAACGTTCCCGGACACGCATGATATAAGTTGGTGTGCATTCCTCTGTGAACCCGCAGGACTCGCATTTAACGCAGTGAATTTCAATCGGAGCAGTCACTTTGCTTGGTGGGTTTTGAGTATCTGAGCCTGCAATTGCCATTGCATGGAAACAAACATTGAAAATTCGGTCTTTTGCTCTGTTTTCTCCGTTTATTAACTCTGTTTGATGTTTTCTGTTTGTGTTCTGTAACTTTATATTGTGAAGGGAGAGGAGCAGGGACTGAAAGTGATTTATGTCATGTGGGTGTGATTAAAGAGGGTAAATAATTAAGGAAAAAAAGAATAAAGTGGTTTCTAAGTTTGTGTCTGTGTCCGGATTTTGTTTTAAACCAGGTTTAAGATGTCGGGTTTCTTCAATTTGTCTCTAACGGGGATGGTGGAAGGGTTTGGAATAAATATGACCATATCTGTATTTTCTTTTGTATATAATATTTATAAAATATAAAAATTATCATATTTACATATTAAATATAAAATATATTTTTATATATATCAAATTTATTTATAAGTTTTATTAACATTTTAAATGATATAATAATATTTACAATAATTATCAAATCTGATCTAGGGATGTGGGGTTATACTAATATAGAGGTGATTAAATCAAAGTCCTCTCCATTTTGAAATGGTTGTTAGAACTCCCGATGATTGATGCTTTGACTTTCGTGTAATTGCAAGGTATGAAAAGCTGCCACTGCTAAAGTTGCCGTCACTAATTGAGAGGTGACAGCCACATGCAACTCCAGAAAGGATAAAGATGGATTTACTTCAATAAAAAACTCAATAAAAATTAAAACTTTTACTGTCCAAATATGCATAAGCTCAATCATTAGAGTTGCATTAACTGTCAACTGACAGTATATGAATATGACTAAAATCTTTGAATGGACAATAAAATTTATTATAATTATGATTAAAAAATTATTATAATTATAATTAAAAAAATATATTAATGAAAATTTTATATTAATTTAATTTTATTAGAATTAATATTTAAATTTAATTAGAGGTATAATAAATTTAATTATATTATATTAAAAATGCAGTGAAATTCAAACGGTGCTTGGGTTCAATGATAATGAGATACTTATAATGTAGTGCTTCAAATTTTATGAAACTGAGTTGAACATTGGATTACAATAAATGGGTAGAGAATGGAAACTTTCCTCTACAACATCAACAATAGGTGAAATAAAAATTCGTTACCAAATTTACACATATACAAGCTGATGTAGTTTGCTGATTTACAAGTTAAAAAGGGAAAAAAAACAAAGAAAAAAAATTTTAACTGGCAGATATAATATGTTTAAAAACCTGCATTTTAATCTTAATTTATAATTATTGAATGTTTTGCTTAAGTTATTTGTTTGAATTCAAGGTTTTTCAATGATGCTGACGGGTCTTTTCTTCTTCCATACGGCTGTCACCCAGTGCAATTTTGTTGTAATCCGGTTGAATATTCAAAACTATATAACATTTACAGTAAGTCACAACCACATATTCACATCATCTCAATCAGAGGTTTCTGTCGACCACACAACTTCAGCATTTTCCTGCTTCATGGCTCTCAAGCTGCTCTTTAAACGTTGTTGGGTCTTTTTCCCAGGTTTTCTGATAGCCAGGGTCTTCAAATCATCTTCTTCTCACCGGTATCTCCAGATCTACTTGTGCTGCTGCAGACATCTCAGTTTCTGCTTCTCCACCAAACACAACCAGTTGCAGGGAAAGAGTACATCAGGAACTGCCTCCTAGGTATTATTAGTTTGCCACTTTACAAGGCTGATTGATATTTTTTTTTTACTTGGTTTCATCTTGTCGAGGCTAAGTAGACTTGTAGAAGGATTCCCATTTTCCTCAGGGCTTGCTTAAGTTTGCAGAAAATGGTATAACAGTTATTGCTTTACATTTCGCTGGATTCGAAATCAGGTAATAGTTCACATCACTAATTACTAAGCACAGTCCATTTTTGTTTCTCTTCCAATCCATCATGATGGAGGGCTCTATAAATAGCCTTCAATTAGTAAGTACTACCTCCTCTGCAGCTAATTAAATTGAGTAAGAATAAAGAAATGATCCCAAAAAAAACCAGTAATTAATTAGTTTTTGGCAGTTTAATTGAGATTTGACCTGTTCACTCTTCTTCACGCTAAAAGACAGCATGTGACTTCATTCAACATCAGAAAGAGACATGTCTCTGTATTTAAGGCATCATCACTTAAAAATGAGCCATGTGCAAGATTTGTTTACTCTTTTGATGCGTCAAAAAAGTACAAGGCAAATACCGGTGAGGGAGGGTGTGGCAGCTTCCTTGTGAAAGGAGGACTCTTTTCACTCCTTTTAGACATTTAGGTTTTAGCTACCGCAAGCAAGGGAATCTTGTTTTCATTTTTGCTGGTTGGGACCGGATAACTACACTTGATGCCTCTTGGTTTGGTGGCATATGATACTGAAGATAGATACGTGACTGTCCTTGTTCTATTTTGCGTTTGTTTTCGTTTTGGGTATATTCAAGAGCAAGAGGAAATATGCAACATGTTTGCTGTCGTGAGACGAAAAAAAAAAGACCCACTACCTCGCCACTTGACCATGATTATGGCCCCATAAACATCATGTAGGAGGAAGAGTTGGAGTTTCCGGAAAAGTTAACAGGGACCAGAGGTGGTGCTTTAGAACACAATCTGCCACCAAGGTTCATCCAAAAAAGGATGGGTCGCAGTGATTCCAATTTTTCCCCATCAAAAACACATGCTAGTAAACTTGGAAGATTATCTCGTAGTGTGTGAAACATGGGAGGTAAGTCGAGTCATTGCCAGTGGCACAAGGAGTTTTATTTGATTCAGTCGCACATTGAAGATTGAAGAGGGCTTCATTTTGATTTGTTGACGTCCAACTCTTTTTCTTCTGTTGGGGCAGATTCTGGCGCCTTAAATACTGGTTGAAGGGTTAGAGTAAAGTACAAACAGAAATTGTCGACAACCTTCCTGCTGGACCCGATAACATCAACCTAGCCCCCGATGGTTCTTTCTGGATCGCCTTAATCCAGGTATTCAAATTCATGCAAATTACAGAATCACTAACATCTTGAGCTGGTAACCGAGACCTCATGTCCGTAAATTACTTCTTAATTTGTTGCAGGTAGCTTCTAAGGGAAAGGAGTACGTGCACAACTCCGAGAGTTACCTGATACCCGATGATGATTTATATAGAAATCTGCAGACATGCAACATTTTTGGACAATTATAATCTAAATAGTAGCTGCTGACTTAATGTCTTCAAACAACTATCCAATAACATTTTACTTGATCTTGGAGAAAATCAATCCCAAAAATAAAATGTATTTAATTTAAAGTTTCAAGACATAATTTGGAGCTCTAACCATCTCCCAATCTCTTTCAAATATGATGATCAACTGAAAGCATGTTTGTTGTTTCAAATGATAACAGAAAGGTTTTTAAAGCAGCTATTGTTAGTCCACGCTGACTAGTCACGCTCACTAATAGCTGTCAAATGTTCATCGATTTCCTCTGTTGACAACACTCTGAAAACTGGATTATCAGCTTTCACCACTCCCACCTGCCAAACTCAAAAGATTAATGTTAATAACAGTTCAAAGAGAGGGAAAACAACAATAATTTCAGCTTCTACCATGATCGGGAAAATATCTATGTAATTATATTAGAGAAACAGAACCAACTGGATTAGACTGAGGATGCACCATAAGCAGCCTACGAAACTAACAGGTATGCCAGATTATCCACACTTTTCCAAAGATATTTAATGCATTCGAACATTTAGATAGTAGCAAACTCACAATGGCAAGTTAACAAATACTTTAATCACTAACAACTAAAAGGATCAACTGACTCATTATACCTCAATCTCAGTAGCCTTGAAATCCTCTTGAAGAACAGATTGTAGAGCAGAAATAGCAGTCTGCAGAACATTAGCAAAGGGAAACATTAGATAAATTTGATTATTTTAGCTCAAGTCAAACATGTGGTCTTTAGCAATTTCTTTTACCAAACATAATGAAAATACAGATATATATATATATATACCTGCACTGTTTCCTCATAAGTAAAAGCAGGGTCATTCTTCATCTTCTTTTCCAAGAAATTAATTGCCTCTTGTTCTTTTGATCCAGCACTGGTTGCCTGAAGCATATTAGTCAAAATTCATTCCAGAGGTTTAAAATGCTTATCCTAAAATTTGGTCAAAAAGAATTTTGAATACAAGTTATTACAACAATCAATTCAGATTGGAGAACAAACATGCTACTTCATGCTTTAAGTGATGGACAAAGAAAATGAAATAGTTAATATAATTGAAATTTAAACATGTCATTTATTTCTTATCCAAAATAAATGTCATTAACTGGTGGTAGCAAAGAGTCATAATATGGTTGGTACTGGATAGCAGGTACTAGAAATTATTGGTTCATTCCCATTCTCACAACTCTTTGTTTGGGTAAGCCACCTTCTGAAATTTGTGGTAATTATTGTGGCTTTTCATGATCATAAGCACATTGTAACCAAAAAGGGAAAAACCATCAGCAATTATATTTCTACACTGACAATGTAAAAAATATAGTCAAAGAGAACTATTAGAGAAAAACAGTAAAGAATCATAAACACAATAATAATATATGGTTTATGGAACTAAGTATTTTGAACCAAATCAAGAATCCAAACTTAATGACCAATAAAAATTAATTTGAAAACTACCTTGTGACCATAAAAATGGCCAGCTGGATCACACTTGTAGAGTTGAGGTCCCTTCTCTTCATCAATGCCCAAAACCATAGCAACTTTACACAAAAGGATACAAAAGATAATAAGGGAAGCATAGGGTAATGTTAGCAAAAATTACTTGGAACAAACATTATCTGCATGCATGTGTTAACAAATCTGCATGCATATCTGTAAGATTTTAAATATACAATGATAAATACAAATACAAACAATTAAAAACAAATTCATATTTGTAAGATTTTAAAGAAATCATAGACTTACCAACTCCAAGAGGTCTCATATAAGCATGTTGAGTATAAACCTGTGATTTGTCTGCAATCCTATATCAATAAAACAAGTCATTCTAAATTAGTTGTATGATCATTGAAATGAAAGAGTCCCAAATATCAAAGAAAAATTTAACAATTCAAAATAATAGTAACATTAAATGTGGTCAGTTGGATTTATTGATTTCTGAACCAAGATTATATCCATGAACTAGCAAATAAATAGTACATAGCCTCCGATCTTGATGTTCAGAGGAACAGTAAAGAGTCAGGGTCATAAAATGTTTTGAAGTCCTAGTAGCAAACATGCAAGAGCCTAAACTTACTGCCAGCTTATATCCAAATGACTAGTCTA